ACTGAGCCAAACATGTCGTCGAAATATTTATATCTCACTAGCGGCACACCCTCGCTTCGTTCGCGTTCGTTTCTGGAAAAACAAAAACAAATCTATCCCACGGAAACCGTACATTTTTCCGGGATAAAAATAAACTATGTATTATTCTGATGTATGAGCTATATTATTCTAAAGTTTCATTAAAACTCATTCAGTAGTTTTTGCCGGTAAGAGTAACAAACATCCAGACATCCATACATCCTCACAAACTTTTGCATTTATAATATTAGTATAGATGTATTGTTGGTGGAAAAGCTTAACTTAAAAGCCATTTTTTTGACCGACTTCAAAACAAGAGATTCAAAAATTAAAAACGGAACCCTTATACTTGCATCATGTCAGACGTCAGTATGTCCGTATATTAAAGCCATTTTACTCAAAGACTATTAGAGCTATATTGCAAAAAAATTTGTATGTGGGTGTCACGTCCCACCTGAACCGCTAGACAATTCTGCTGCGGAACCCTAGAAACGCGAATCACTCTCATACTTGTCCGATTTTTATTAACTTTATATCTTCGTAAATAATTCGATGTTCATGATATTTTAACGAATAAGTTATACTTTAAAGAAATCCAGTGTCCAATATAAATCTATACTAATACAAATATACTACTTAATACTATTAAACTAATAATACTATAGAGATAAAATTTGTGAGATTTTGAATTTGTGAAGTTGTAGAGGGTAATATCTGGATCTACTGAACCGATTTAGATGAAATTTGGTGAGAAGATAGTTTGAGACCCTGGGAAGGACATAGGATACTTTTTCATAATAAATCATCCCTTGAGGGTGTGAAAATGGGGATGAAAGTTTGTATTGGGAATCGAGCTAGGGACGAACCCGAGCGACGCAAGGGTGTGTCGCCAGTTTTAAAATATAATTCTACCACTAAAAATGATGAGGACAAAGATTACTCATAAAATGATTACAGTCGGTATATATAGTAAGTACAAAAAGTAATTAGGTATATATTGCACTGCCCGCGGCTCTGTCCGCGTTCAGATGACCAAAAACCACATTCTTAGGTTTTACATATTAGTATACTCTTACAATGCAGTGTTTGTATTTTTTCTCAGAAACGAGATATTTTCCCGCGGTAAAAAGTATCCTATATATTGACCCAGATAACCAGCTATCAACATACCAAATTTCATGAAAATCCCTCCAGTGGTTTTTCTGTGATGCGGTAACAGGCAGACAGACAGACAGACAAAAATTCTAAAAACTATAGATTCGGCCTCTGTATCGATAATAATGTCTATTTCAATAAGATTTTCCAAAAAACATTTAATGTACATATTCGGCTTTATAGTTACAATTTTATTATATGTATAGATATTGCTACAAAACAAGGACCATCAGATACCGTAGAAAATTAGCATTTCTAACTTTTTGGAATAATTCTCAATTGGTATTTGCATATACATCGACAAATGATATGAGACGGATGCTGGCCTCATTTCTACTAAAATTGAACGTGACTTACCGTGTGTTTCGGAATCTTTAAAGAATATTTAGAAACCTAACACTTTAACGATATGGTTTGAGCCATGGCTACTGTTTAACATATGGAAGACGGTAAAAATTTTGATTTGACCCATAAAAATAGTAAAAATTAACTTTATTTCCTTCACAATAGAGTCCAAATTTCATCAACTATTTTTAGACTACAAACTTAAATGAAAATAGACTTTAAACTTTTGAATTTAAGGTTAAATTTTGCATGAACATTGAACAGCTTTTAAATCTAGGCCAAGATCAGACCTTATTCTGAAGATCAGAATAGTTCCAATTCCCTATTGTGATTGCTTGAGTACGATGGTCCAGTAGCTTTAGAATGCCTTCATTTACTTTGCCAAAGTCACCGAATCGATTTTTAAAGTTTTGTAAACTTTTGATTTTTGGTTCCCGACATGTCGAATGCTTTTACCCATTTTTTTAACCGTTGGTTATAAATATAATAATGGCAACACTAAATATAAATTACTTATTAATATTTTTTCTTAGAAATTGTAATAATTATAATATTAACAGCTAAAATTAAATAAATAATATTCCATATTCAATTATACAAGTAATTATCTTATAAAAATATTTAAAGTAAAAAAATATTGTAAGGTATTTTGGTGGCATTTTTCAATTTTTTGAATTCATTTTGATACAATGGCCTCGTTACAGTTTTATTATATTCACCTGCATGCAATATTTCATTGCAATGAAATGCAAAATACTGCAATTATTTCAAAGATGCATTAAAAATATCTGCATTAGAAGAATATTTTAGTGCAAAACCATAAGCGCTTTATAGTCGTCAGCTTCAAACATATGAGAAATATATAGAGGAGTTAATACGTTTGATTCAACATTTTTTTTTCTTTTTTATGGGTTTATTTTAACAATTTTTATGGGTTTCACTTGTTATTTTGTTTATTTGGGCTCAAAGTTCAATAGATTGAATCAAAAATGTGATTTTTTATATTATATATAATGTATTTTAAATAAAACTATCTTTTCGGATTTTATCGCGGATTTATTTGCATTTTTGTTTCCCGACGTTTCGAACGCTTTACAGCATCCATGGTCACGGGAGAGACTGAGGCGTTACATGTCTCGAAGGTATAGTTCGAAAAGATAGTATTATTTAAAATGTCAAATATTCGCGTAAATCTAAGAAAGTATTATATATATAATGTATTTTTATATATGTATTTAATATAATATATGTATATATCGTTATAAAGTTATTTAGTGTTAATAATGAAAATAAACAACTAACTTAAAAATTAAAAAATATATTTAATCGACAATATTTCCTTTTCCGACATTGCGCGGACGGAGGAGTATAAAATTTCCCACACTATATGAGAAGGAATACGAAATGCTAGTGTTTTTTTAACATTATGCATAAAAATACATTACACACAGTACCATGTATTTGACACACAAGCATATATCATTTTTTTACTCTTTTGTTTATTATTAACGTCTGTGGTTAAATTGACAATAGAAAGCCAACATTTTTATATAAAATGTATTAGAAATATATTAAATTAACTAAAATAAACATATTGTTTGTGAACCGATCTGTTTAGTTTTTGTTTTAGTTTAATAGCTATTCACTAGCTTTAGTTTTTAAATGAAAAAAAAATCATTAATAATCATGGTCGAAGTTCGACCACTCGGCTAACTCTAGTCCCAATAATTATTCATACAGCTTTCTTGGACCAAATATGCTGGAGGCTAAAATGTTAGACGTGTAAAAGTGCGAATTGTGAATTATATTAGCAATGATTCACTTGTCTTACGGTGAAAACAAAGATCATGAGAAAACCTGCATGTTTTCGAGCAAATTTTCCGAAAATTTGATTAAGTGCACTCTGTACTTGACCAGCGTGGTAAACTATGGCCTGACCCCTCTCGCATTAGGAGGGCTCGTGTGACATTAAAAAGAGGGTAACGACTAGAGTACGACATTAAAAATTACTATAAGATTATTATTTTACTTAAAAGAGTGGTTTTAACAGCTCTATTACATTTTTAATCATCCGTACAGCCTCGGTTGAGTGGATGCATCTGTATGTGTTATTTTTTAATTACAAGTTTACTCACAGCGGTATGAGGTGTTAATTAAGCCCCTCCCACGAAGTCAAAAGGGGTGTTAATTAGCCAAGATGTCATCTTATTATAAGCTAGTTACTTGTAAAAATGGCTTTATAGCTAGACTCTTTTGAATTTACATATATTAATAACTTTAATAACTATACTTTAAAAACTATATATATATATATATATATATATATATATATATATATATATATATATATATATATATATTTCAACAATCACATTAGTATCTCAGATGCTATAAAGCCAGTGAATTGTAAACTTTTTTTTTGAGAAATAGATTCTTAAACCGTAATACATACACTATTAGTGATAAATCTTGCCAAAATTTGGTGCTAACTGTATATCCATACTAATATTATATATTATAAAATAATATTATAAATGTGAAAGTGTGTGTGTTTGTTTGTTTGTCCTTCTTTCACGTCGAAACAAATTGGCGTGATTTTATGTGTGGAGATATTTGCAGGGCTGGAGAGTGACATAGGCTACTTTTTACCGCGGGAGATAATCACATTCCCACGGGATAACACGTTAAAATACAAACCAAAAAAAAATTATGATTAGAATTCCTTGAAACTTTGTATCAATGCTTTTCAATAAATTAAATATATACATCTTTTAGCGTTTTTCGAAATTCATTTTATAAGGGGGTACAATAGGGGATGAAAGTTTGTATGAAACCTACCGTTTTAGAGAAGTTTGTAGTCTAAGCGCGAGCGAAGCCGCGGATTCTGCTAGTAATGTTATAATTATAAAAGGCACGCACTAGTGTGAAGCGAGTGTTACGCTAGTATTTTATAACAGAAATGTTAACCATTCCAAACAGAAGTATCCACGTATTTAAATAAAACTGGCAATCTTTATGTCAATAGTTCATCTAAATAGAAAGACAGATAGATAGACATTTTTTTGCACAACACATAAGAAATACAAAACATAAAGTAAAATATACATTAAAAAAAAAAAAGAGACACACGGATAGATTCAACGACACGTTTGACTCAGTTTGTAGTGACCCTAATTACTGTGCCAGCGGTCGCGGGTTCGATTTCCGCTTGGGGGCATTCATTTATGTGATAAGCATAAATTTTTGTACTCTAGTCATAGGTGTTTATATTTATTATATGTATGTATATAAAGTTACATATGTGTAATGTATCAACTATCTGGTATCCATAACACAAGCCTCGTAGCTTACCATGGAACTAGATGGTGCTGTGTGTTAAAACCAACAACCTTAAGGTTTTTCTAGAAGAAATCTTTCAGGTAACCTTATGGTGGAAGATTCAGTATACGAAATGGTAAATAATTAGTTTTTTATTGTTGCAGAGAAATTCTAGCAGCAACACCATCTTTGACAAGCCATTCGGTTGCTGCCACGCCGACACACCGACGAGATTTCAAACGAGATTCTGTTAAAGAAGACAGGTACAAGTCCTTTTACCAATAAAATAAAAAAAGTAAATAAATTTATTTTTTTGAACTTTTTCGTGGTTGTATTTTGATTTTTTTTTTTCTACCAAACATTTCGGACGCTTTACGAGCAGCTGTACAAGCTAGCATGGTCACGGGTCATGCTTAAGCTGTTTGCACGAGTTATGTTTGAAAAAAAAGATAAAAACCACGATAAATACCACATATTTGCCTATATCTACAAAAGTATTAAAATTAAATATATTTATCTATACAGATAAATAAAATTGAAGTGTCTGTTTGTAATGTCAAAATAACAGCGTTTTATTGAATGCATATGAAATTATATACGGTACTTATAAGAAAAACACATTTTTTTTATTTTTTGTCAGTCTGTCTACTGTCTCTGTTATACTGTTTGTTCCGGATAATCTCTGAAACGGCTGGACTGATTTTGACGGGACTTTCACTGGAAGATAGCTGATGTTATAGGGAGTAACATAGGCTATTTTTATTTTAAAAAAAGAATTAGGTTTCCGCTCAAAAAATATATATAAATAACCTCTATTTTATCTAACCTACCATTTAATTTTTTGTTATTCAGATCATCAATAAAACGGGATGCGAGAAAGGAAAGTACCAAACGAGTGGACCAAAGCACGACGACCAGCCCTCTTCGAGATAGTTGTAAAAGAGATCCACGTTACAGTGAACCTAACCGACAAGTTGTAAGTCTTTACTATCAAACCTATAATAAAAGCCGTCTTAAACCCTCCAGGGTTTTGGGCACATAACAATTTAGGACCTTTTTAGAAAGTTAAAAAAAGTGAATAGTAATAAAAAAAAATAAAAAAATATATTAAAGTGCATAGCATTATACGTTGTAATACATAACAAATTGAACTTCACTCTTTTTACGTAAGCGAATTTGTTGTGTTTTCGGGGCCCCCATGAGGCTGGGGGCCCTGGGCACGTGCTCCGTGTGCCCTTATAGTAAAAACGGAACTGCCTATAATATCCCCAGTTTCATAATACATATAAACTAAATGATTTAAAACCCCAAGTGCAAAAAGAAATATGTATTATATGGGTTTTTCTTTGCCTACCATACATAGTTTTTGATCGTACAGAATTAAACTCTAGTTCTTAGATTTTTCTTTCAATCAATGATCAGTAATAAAAGAGTACTACAAATCGAAATAAGCTTTTATCAACTAAACTAAAGAGAGTAGTGTAGTCAGTCCGTGAAGAAGCTAAGCCGGTGGGGCTTAGAAGGCTGTTGTGCTGGGAAAAGCCTAACAATATCTCAACAGTAGCTCTAAACTATACTCGTAATAGTTAACAATTTTATTTAATAACATATTTTTAGTTTTAAAGTTTTGTCTTATATATGTGTGGCTCTATGCATAGGAATGCACAATATGCATAATAATATCCTCTGACCAATATCGGATACGGCAGCCAATCTTACTGTAGGCTAGCCAGATACGCAGGAGATATTATAGTGCACAAGTGCACTCTCAATTTCTTTTACTCTAAAAGTCCCATGGGATAATACTTCGACACGACCGGTGAGAGTTAACGCGCAGGACCGAAAGCTTCACGTGGTCTGTATAGGCACGGGGTTGAAAAATGCCAACTTCTCGAGAATATCTTAACAGAAAAACTCAGTAATAAAACTGTACATTTACAATATGCATAGATCTAGTTTTAGGAATCTACCCAATATTCTCAATAGCTTATGTTTTTTAACAGTATATAGCATCATTTGATGAAGAAGGTGAACAGTTTCGAAGAGTAGGGCCTGAGGGTCTAGTGAATTTAGAGAAAGTATACAGAACCCAAGCAGTCATGGACCATATTGCCAGTTTTCACCAGCACCGGTACAGCCTCGCGAGGACCACGTCCCCTTTGTTCGCCGATTATTTAAGGTGGTGACAGTTTTGGATATACTCTTTTAATTACATATTATACTATACATATTCATTACCTAGTGTTCATGACGCTAAAATAAAAAAAAATATTTTTAGTACCGCAAAAGCTTCTTAAGCTATCCCAAGTTTTTTGAAGACTTATAACCCTCATATCGTTTCAGAACAGCCATAGCATCTTGCGAAGAACCTGTCTTTGTGCAACCTGCACAAAAGACGTCGGGATCAGACTTTGAAAATGAAGCGTTATATGAACTGGAAGGTGGTGGATATTGTCCTGTACAACCTTTACCACATGACCATGGTGTTACCATGTTTCCTTTAGCCCCACAAAATGGAGAAAGAATGGACAGGCATATTTTACAGGTAATTTATCATATTTTAAAATCATAAATATGACTAAAGAGTTTCCTACTGTCTTCTTTCAATTAAAAATGTGACTCCAGTGAAGGCATATAATTGGCTAAGTTCATGTTCAATTAAAAAGCTGCCTAAATCAATATTATCAATCGACTTACCTATTTATTTATCATGCAATAATCTGGATGATATCTTTCTCAGATAATGCATCATGGTACAGCATGTGTAGTAGGTGAAGCTGAATGGAGTGGAGCATTTGCCCATCTCAGACTCGAACGATCGTGTGCTTTGCTTACTTGGAGTAGAACCGCACACCGCCCACATTCACAGCATGGTATGGTTTTTTCGATATTGGACAGTGCGAAATATCATTTACAAATTGAAAGCGTAATTTTCTTTAGTTTTTTTTATAGAAAAAAACACTAATGCCTAAAATCCATAGCATGTTTTAATTTTACTAATACGTTTACGTATAGATCTAAAAATAAATATAATAATACTAGCGGCTCACCCTCTAGAAAAACAAAAACAAATCTATCCCTCGGGAACCGTTTATTTATCCGGGATAGAAAGTAGCCTATGTGTTATTCCAGATATAATCTATCTCTGTCCCAAATCTCATCCAGATCCATTCAGCCGCTCTGAGTTAAAAGAGTAACAAACATCCATACATACTCACAAACTTTCACGCTTATATTTTTACAGATTACACAGATATACAGATTTTTATTATGATTCTATGTTATTTTAATTCGTCATTGCAATACAATTTTTAGAATTTGTCCTAATAAGTGATTGTCAAATATCAGCCTGTCTGAGCCTCGTGGTTTCTAACTTAACTGGAGAAAGAAGGAAAAAATATTTTTTACTAAATGTATTTAATAATAATAATAATCGGAACCATGTGTTTAACCATCTAGACCTTTTTTTAGATTTGACTTAGAATTTCCTTTACCTTGTATCTGATCTATACTAATATTAAGAGGCAGAGTTTGTTCGTTTGGTTGTTTCTTTGTCTGTTTGGACGCGCTAATCTCAGGAAGTACTAATCCGGTTCGAAAAATTCTTTTTGTATTAGATAGCCCGTTTATTGAAGAAGGCTATAGACTATTAATCATCATGCTACTAGCCAAGGGAGCGGAGCAATAATCATAAATGTCAACAAATCGGGCAGACATTATTGTAAAGTGATGGGAAAGAAGAGTTTGTTTTTTTGTACTTTGGACGCGGGCGAAGCCGCGGGCTCTGCTAGTCTGATATAAATTAGCTGATATGAATTTAGTCGAAAAGTCTGGAGGGCTTAAATATTTAATGGCTTCAAATTAATATTTCAGCCATTTAGTTTGTACTCAAATCTGGACAACTCTTGCAAATGATAAATGAGTGTTCATAAATTTGATAAACTATGATAAATTTGTTTGCTTTAACTTATTTGTTTTTGATTAATCCCTCTACGATCGCGGACACGCCGGCGTTACAGTTAACAATAGATTTCTTAGAAATTTAATTAATTTCTTAGAAATCTACCTGGAGGTGTTAATATAATTAAAATCGTATAGTTTATTATTTATTCGCGAAAGTTCTTCTTCCTGAGGTTTTATGATATGAAAATAAAGTTTTTTTTTTAATTCAAGCAATTATTCCGCTAAGAAAAATGGAATCTTTATTTGAATGTTAAATTCTAAATATCCTACTATCGTCGAAAATTTATACTAATATTATAAATAAGTAAAGTTTGTGAGGTTGTGAGATTGTGAGTTTGTGACGTTGTAATAGGTAAACTTTGGATCTACTAAACCGATTTAGATGAAATTTGGTAAGAAGATAGTTTGAGACCCTGGGAAGGACATAGGATACTTTTTATCCCAGAAATCATCCCTTAAGAAGGTGAAAATGAGGATGAAAGTTTGTATGGGGAAGCAAGCTAGGGACGAACCCGAGCGAAGCGAGGGTGAGTCGCTAGTGACTAATAATTAGGAAAACAGCATTCCGTCTCTATGAACTTAAGCTTTGTACATAATGAAACTCGTTTTGACAATTTTAAAGGTGAAACCCCATCAGAAAATGTACAGCAACCTGAAATTAGCTTATCGTACAATCCAGAAGAAGTTATACCTTTAAAATATTCTGGGAATTTAGTTCATGAAAATGAAGCTGGCGTCGTAGGGGAAGATGGGTAAGTTAAAATATATTATAACCATTTTATTTCATCCAAATCGTTTGGTAAGAATTGTAGCTAAACGAGATTGGTAAATATGATAGTGACTTGTTCTTGATATTGTGGCAGCGGTATCTACCTTTAATAATACACCAAAAAAAGAAAAAATCACCAATTTTCAATATATAAGGAATCTCTAATAATAATTTGTTTTTATACATCTACCAGAAATAATATTTTTTCCAAGGTTTGAGAAATTCAAGAAAGACCTGCTTATATAAGTTTCATAGGGCAGCATTGAGTCATGACACCATAAAAATTTGCCCAATTTCCTTTTTATTTCTGATGTAAAAACTTAAAAAAACCGACTTGCAAAAAATAACTAAACGGAGGTTTTCATTTAGAATAGATTCCTAATTAGATATTATTCGGTCCAAAGGTTTGTACCGAACACCTATGCAATAATGCTTTAGGTGTGTTATAAATACATCGAAACACGCCTAAAAAGGCAGTGCGTGTTCGGACAGCAATCAAACCGGCTGCATTCATTATCATTTATTAGCATCAATCATTAGTATAGCATATAATTAAATCAATAAACTGTTCATCGATCTTAGACTGTATTTAATTTATCAAGCAGTTAGTGGTAGGTCGCGTCCCCTACAAAAATTTTCGAAGTCGGTGCCAAATATTTATTATTGATTTTTTTAAAAACCGCTCGACCGATTTCGATAAAATTTAAATCCAAATCATTCAAATCATTTAAATTAAATCTTAAAGGGACCATCTGGGAAGGCACCCTCTTTAAAACAAAAAAAATCCAAATCGGTTTAAGCGTCTTCCAGTAATTGGTGAACATACATAAAAAAAAAGATTCCGACGAATTGAGCACCTCCTCCTTTTGGGAAGTCGGTTAATTAAAACAGAAATTCACTTTTTTCAGTTTCATCGACCTTCAGTGCGTCAAAGATATGCGTCTTAACGGCAAGTTGTTAGAACCTCGGGACATAGCAGAGTTATGCGCGTGCGCAAGAAAACATGGCTTAGAAACCTGCTCGCAACGACCACATGTCATATCCCTTGTGTATGGAAAAACCTTGAGTGACAATCGGACTGTCCATTTTGTTTTACCACCATATTCTTTTCGGTAAGTATTTTATTCAATCATTTAAGGAGAAAAATGTAATGATTGAGAAAAATTGATAAAAACTAATGTTTTTTTGATATCTCGTCATATTTCGACGCTTTGTTCTATGTTTTAAAAACTCTTCACTGAATCCCGTGGGATAAAACACAATATTTAAATTTTTGAAACATCGACTTGCATAAGCGGAGATTAATCATAATTTTCCCTAACTTAATTCTGATGCGTCCCAGGCGTCTTACGCATTTATAATACAATACAGCCAGCGCCATCTTTTGACAAATTTTATTACTAAGAATGGCTTCACTCCAAGTCATAATCTATTTATATACTGAATTACATCGAAATCCATACAACCGTTTTAGGATGAAGGATTTAACAAACATACATACAAACTTTTAGCAAGTTTTAAAGCTAACCGTTGGCTTATCTCTATATTGACATTCCAGGGTATGGGCAGTAGGTCTTCATTCAGTAATCAAGGCCCTAATAAGTCAAACCAAGCTGGCAGATAGGAGTCTGGCGTGGTTGAAGAATAAATATACTGCACTCTATTATGAGGATGGCTGCTGCTGTGAACCATTGGTCTCTGATGCTATACGGGTTTGTACCGAAAATGTATTGGCTATAAGTAATTTTTTTCTGCAAATATTGTAATATTTAAGCGTACTTAATAAAAGGTAACTTAATAAAAGGTAACATGTTCGCAATCATATTTTTGAATCTTGTTATATAATTTTGTATTCTTACCCCCAAAGGCTCCCCCCACCCCCACCCCACCGCGTTGAGTAGTTTTTGATATGGCAATATTCTCGGTAACAAGGATATTTTTGCAGTCGATAACATAAATGTTGTCGATAGATACATACATATTTAGTTCCATTTATAAGTTATGTATGTCAAAACATATCGTAATGATTTATTTTAAGGAACCTTCACTTGTTATTTATAAAATTTTAAGGGGAAAGATCTTTCAAGTAAATAGAAACAATTTGTTAACCCCATCCCTACAGTTGATTTAGGAACAGAAAGCGCGTAATATTAAAATGGCTCACTTCTCACAATGATTTTGAACATAATATATTCCAAAAAATGATACAATTTGCTATAAGTCTAGAAAAGCTTCATTCGAAAGTCGTTAAAAACCTAGAAAGTTCATCATTATGGTATGCGATTCATACTTGAACTTGACCATTTTTTATTTAACTATAAATATGTTGGTACATTAACACACAGCACCATCTAGTTCCATGGTAAGCTACGAGGCCTGTGTTATGGATACCAGATAGTTGATACACTACACATATATAACTTTAAATACATATATATTATTAATATAAACACCCATGACTAGAGTACGAACATTCGTGCTCATCACACAAATGAATGCCCCCAGCGGGACTCGAACCCGTGACCGCTGGCACAGAAAGTAGGGTTACTACAGACTGAGCGTCATTACGTGCGATTATTTCTTCAGGTATTTGGTGGCAGAGATTCAGTCAGCGGTAGCTCCTCTCACTCGACTCCGGTAAAATATTCTGAACAATCTGACTCGATGAAGAGTTCTGCTATCAAATTCAAGAAAAATAAGTCAACGTCCGAGTTAAAAAGCTCTCCAAAAAGCTTTAGTTCGCATACTTCTGGGACTAGAAGTGATGATGACGCTGCTCATGGGTCTCCGAGACATAGGTAATTCATTCTTCTATACTAATATTATAAAGAGGTAAAGTTTGTGAGTTTGTGACGTTGTAGGGGGTAATCTCTGGATCTACTGAACCGATTTAGATGAAATTTGGCATGAAGATAGTTTGAGACCCTGGAAAGTACATAGGATGTTTTATCCCGGAAATCATCCCTTAAGGGGGTGAAAATGGGGATGAATGTTTGTATTGGGAATCAAGCTAGGGACGAACCCGAGCGAAGCCAGGGTGAGTAACTAGTTTAAATATATATTTTTTATTGTTCGTAGTTTTATTTCACGTTTTTGGTTGCCAATATTTCAAATAACTAGTTTTTGACTTTACAAAAATTAACAAAGATTTATAAATAGTGAGGAATAGAAGAGAAAAGGCACTGAAAACCCTTAAAATTTTGGAACTTTAATAAATAATAAAATCCATATTGCTAATTAGAGTTGCTAGATTTTACAACTTTAAATTATTTTTACGTTTTGAATTTTTTAGGGGTAAGCGTATATTAATATTTTTTTTATTTTTAGAATATTCATATCATGGATACTATACCAGAAACACTGTTTTGTACCTATTATCCCTAAGCAAAATACAAATTTTTAAAATTATTTTTATGGTCTAACAATGCTATTCACACCACGTTTCCCACTATCGAATCAGTCAGTCAGCCATTTTTCTTCGAGTTCCAGACTTCGTCTTTTCCATTACTTATCCTGTTAGTCTGAAGTCTAAAAGCATTTTTACTTTTACTTTCAGCTCATACTCAGCGGCCTCCAGCCAGCACTCCCACACGCACAGCGCCCACAGACACAGCAGCCTGACCGCTGCCACCAGTGTGCTGACGGCCTCCCCTAACCGCAGTAGGTGAGTTATCTATATCTGTACATGTAATAATAATTATAAATTAGAAATTTAAAAAACCCCCTACGCAAATTAATTGTAATTTTACGATTACACTGGCACGCGTGAAGCACTTAATCAAATAATCATACGCCATATATATTATTTTGGAAAATGCCTTACATTATTTTGGAAAAGAGCTGATACTCTTACACTGCTAGGCTTATATTAACCCAACACGATATTAACCAAACCAAAAACGATATTAGCCAAGAACCACCGCAAGGAAACTGGCTTTCAAATGAAAAAAACCGCATCGACATCGGTCCATCCGTTTGAGAGCTACGATGCCACAGACAGACACACACACAGACAGACATCGATGTCAAACTTATAACACCCCTCTTTTTGCGTCGGAGGTTAAAAAACACCCTTTAATTAATATGTTCGTAGTCCGAATAATGTTTTTAAGGAAAAGAATGGGAAAAATTAGTTGTGTGTAAAAATTAGGAAGTTTGGGAAAAACGAAAAGAACTTTTTGCTAAACGATGTTTAGGTATGTGAACTCAAGAAGCTAGTATTAAAACTTGCATAGGCACATACTCGTATATCCTGAAATATATATTATCTATACACAAAAATTATATTTCGTCTGATCTTTCGTCCGATTTTAATTTATCTTGTTGTGTATTTAAGATTTGTATGGTTTTGGTTGCAGTTTAAGAAGACTAGAAACCAGTGAAAGATTCTGGGAAAATCTGAAGCATCTTAGAACAGGCTCAGTAGGATACGATACACAGTTAGACTTTATGGATTTCGTTGCCTTATTTCGAAGCTTTAGGTGAGTAATTACATATGTTTATTTCATCTATACTAATATTATAAAGAGGTAAAGTTTGTGAATTGTGAGTTTGTGACGTTTATCCCGGTAATCATCCTTTAAGGAGGTGAAAATGGGGATGAAAATTTATATGGGGAATCAAGCTAGGAGCAAACCAGATCGAAGCGAGGGTGAGTCGCTAGTAAAAAATACAACGTTTCATCTGTTTGTTTATATGTATAGACTATTAGTACGCAAATCTTATTACAACATCAAATAAATTTAAATATAATGGATATTTTAGTGGTTTCTTCCTTTAATTTACTCGAATATTTGACATTCTAAAAAATAATTTATATATATATATATATATATATATATATATATATATATATATATGTATATGTATGTGTATATATATATATATATATATATATATATAGTTTCATTTTTGCGACACAAAGTAGTCTATATCCTTCTCCAAGATCCCATCCATTTTTGTACCAAAACTAGCATTTCCCGCGGCTCCACCCGCGTTCAGATGACCAAAAACTAATTCTTAGGTTTTACATATTAGTATACATTGTAGTTTTTGTATTTTTTCACAGAAATGAGATATTTTCCCGCGGTAAAAAGTATCCTATATGTTGACCCGGATAACCAGCTATCATCATACCAAATTTCATCAAAATCCCTCCAGTGGTTTTTCTATGATGCGGTAACAGAGTGACAGACAGACAGACAAAAATTCTAAAAACTACAGATTCGGCGTCTGTATCGATAAAAATGTCTATTTCAATAAGATTTTCCAAAAAATATTTAATGTACAGATTCAACTTAGTTAGATTTTTATTATATCAGCGGCGTAGGCGTCAAAACGTAACAGACAAACAAAGCTCTAGCTACTAACATTTATAATACTAATATTGATTTCAATTTTCTTGAGAAAGGGTGTGAAGTAACATATCTATTTCTGTTACAGTTTAGTAATGCGATCGGAATTAAGGGATATTTTCGAGCAACTCGCCGTACCCCGAACGCGGAACCCATTGTTCGGTGCTGAGAAGAGTCGAAGTTCTCCCGAGCTTTTTAGAAGTAAAACAATTTTTCATACAGGTAATTATTTATTTTTAAATCCAATATACGCAACGGTCCGTCCCTATTTAAATTATGCCCTTTTGGTTCCAAAAAATTAGACAAGCACACAGACCATCTAAAAATCGAATCTGTGATCCATGCAGCAACAGCTTTGTTTTAATGATTTTTTGCTGAGAAATATTCACGAGATTGAAACTTATAGGCAAAAGTGATGATATTTAACTACATAAATAAATATTCTGCATTACCACGGTTTATAGAACAAGACTATCAAACAAACTAATATATTTAAAAAAGCGTGAAATGATATATTGATAATACAAGAAATCATATAAAAAAATAAGAAAAAAACCAACACACTAACCCATTCGTTGAGGCCATTTGAATGAGACTAAGCACGATATATCTGCAGTATTTTAGTACATAGTTGAGTATTTTACAGATTCCAGGTGACCTTTGCTGTGTCATTAAATCAACGGGGTACAAATTTCAATTCGTGGAAATTGCTTATATTCTTTTAGAATCCAAAAAGTACTGATAACCTGCAAACGATTGAATGGATTTTCTTTATTTATAGCTAAGGTCTAGTTATTTAATTTAAATCGTTGTTTTGTTTGAAAACGATCTTTCAAACAAAAAAAAAGTAAATTAAAATCTGTTACTCCGTTTAGGGGGTACGATGCCACAAGCAGATATACAGATAGACAGATATAACTTATAACTACCCTCTTTTTATCGGAGGTTAAAAATTAAGATATCAAAAACATGCACAGTGATGGTAATATCCTTTTCAAATCAATATCGAAAATGTATATTTGGTCTAAATTCAAACTCGTACCCTCAATCTGGTTGTCCAATTGTTTACAAAAATATTATTTTGTAGGTTTATTGACAAGGAATGGATCTTTAGATCTAGAACCACCAAGTGATAAAGCTGGAAGGAAGAAAGCATTCGACATTCTTGCGGCCGCTGCATTACCAGGTGCGTTTTGAAGAAACTTAGAATAAATTCGAGTATCATCTTCCCATTTCCTAATTATAATGGCTTTTGTCTGACAAAACTCCCTCAAATACTCCTTACTTGCTCTCTTGCTCTTAACTGCCTCGCTAGTCTAGGTTAACATGTACGGTCACAGATCCGGAGGTCCCGGGTTCGAGTCACGGGTCGAGCCAAAGTTATTGAGTATTTCTATCAAGAAATTTTCAGTAACAGACGAGAAAAGTTAACGGTGTTTCACCTCCGTGAAAGAGAGCACGTAAATCCGTCGGTCCTGTGCCTTAACTCTCTCAGTGTTGGAGTAGTCGTCCCACCGGAGTATGAGAGCGACAGGAATAGAGAGTGCACGTTGTGTCTGCGCTCTCCCTCACACGCGCTGCACTATAATATCTCCTGCGCAGATGGCTAGTCTCAATGAGATTGGCCGAAATCTGTCGAGAGGACATTACTTGCTCTTACTGATGTTACCTCTGATCTTCTCTTCTCCTGCTGGCTATCGTTTTCATTATTCCTCTATTTCTTTTTCTTTCTGCTAGTCTCGAGTTCATCGTAATATTTTTCCGCCCAAAACTGTTTTTTACTTAACTAAATTAGAAGAAAGAAGGACTAAGTTGGCACTAGTCTAAATATGAGTATATATGAAATATTATCTTTATAGGAGCTAGTCCAGATGTCAGCGGCAGAGTGCTATCTTTGCCCACGCTTGGCAAATTCTGCGAGACGAGACAAAACGAGCCTAAGACTGAACAACAATTAAAAGATATTATACAGGTATATTAGTTGATAATTTGTTTTAACGTTTAAATAGATTTCTCAGAGATGAGAAATTTTCCCGCAGTAAAAAGTATCCTATATGTTGACCCGGATAACCAGCTATCATCATACCGAATTTCATCAAAATCTGTCCAATGGTTTTCTCATGTTGCGTTCTCATACAGACAGAAAGAAAGACAAAATTCTAAAAACTATAGATTCGGACTCTATCGATAATAATGACTTTTTCAGTGAGATTTTCCAAAAAATATTTAAAGTACACAGATTCGACTCCGAATTTTAGTATATGTATAGATTTACGAGTATAATATCATATACAGCAGCGCCTCCTTTTGGAAAATTTTATTACTAACATCAACCTATATGTTACTTCAGTTCATAGCTTATCTGTTTTTTTTTATTTCTTATTTCATCCAAATCCGTCCAGCTATTTAACATGGAGTAGTAACAAACACACAAACATATTTTTTTTGTAATTATAATAATATTGTGATTTGAATAAATTACATATAAAAAAATCTTTTTCAGAGGCACGAGCCCGACCCAATGCTGCGAGCTGAGAGCTGTCTCTCCTTCGAAGGCTTTGTAAGATTTCTCACTGATAAAGATAATTACGCCTTCGTTCCAGAACAGCGAAGAGCTTCAAACTTTCTAGGGTGAGTTGTTAAATAATACAATATATTCTTTAATACTGTTTCAATTCTTGAAATGATGTGTCCTCCAGACCAATTTCGATCACGGTAGTCAAGCTTACTGAGACTAGCCAGCGCAGGAGATATTATAGTGCACAAGTGTACGCGCAGACACAACGTGCACTCTCTATTCCTATCACTCTCATACTCCGATAGGGTGACAATTTGACACGACCAGTAAGAGAAATCAGGCGCTGATGGTCTATACGGGGATGAAAGACTGCCAACATCTCAACTCCAGGTCCAAGACCTCCTGATCTGTAGCCGTAAATGCTATAGTAGTATGGCAGTTATTGGTTAAAATTATGTAACAAAATCTTCAAAATGTAGTCGATTTAAAACTTCGTTAGTATGTAAAATATAGATGAAATATAAAATATAACTTGAAATCTTCAAGCTGTTCTAATCATGGAGCCAGGTAGAGAGTGGAACTCTTCAATTGCTACTGTTAAAACCTTCGTGCTTAGGTTCATTAAACGCGTTTTGGCGAGTCCTTCACAGTTGTTTAGACAGTATTTTTAGATTTTATTTCTAACTAGCATTGCCCGCGGCTCCGCCCGCGTTCAGATGACCAAAAACCAAATTCTTATGTTATACATATTAGTATATTCTTACATTGCAGTTTTTGTATTTTTTCTCAGAAATGAGACATTTTCCCGCGGTTAAAAGGATCCTATATATTGACCCGGATAACCAGCTATCACCATACCAAATTTCATCAAAATCCCTTCAGTAGTTTTTCTGTGATGCGGTAAGAAAGACAGACAGACAAAAATTCTAAAAACTATAGATTCGGTCAATGTATCAACAATAATGTCTATTTCAATAAGATTTACTAAAAAGTATTTAATGATCAGATTCGGCTTAGTTACAATTTTATTATACGTATAGTAATATTTTTTGTTATATATATGCAATTTTATTATATATATAATAAGAAAACTATTTTATCATCAGAAAGGCCACCCATCCAGATGAAGAGGACCTCCCAAAGGAGCTTTCCCGAGAGATGACGGGGTCTTTAAGCCAGTACTACATCGCAAGCAGTCATAATACGTATTTGACTGGTCACCAACTGAAAGGGGAGTCTTCTGTGGAATTATATAGCCAGGTAAAAGATTTTTTACAAGCAATGCATTTGATTCCATTCAATTCTCTTTTTGATGGCTTCAAAGCATGTCAATTGAGCACAGATTACTTCGCAAATGTCACGTAGAATGGAGAAGACACGAAAGAGATTGGTCGGTGTAATGAATTTTTTATAAAAAAATATCTTAGTTTTTGTAATAAATTAAAATCATAGTTTATGTAATTAAATTCTTTTGGCACGTTTGGAAAAAAATATGAGAGTAAAATTTTTAAGCGCGCGCACACCGACAGCCAAAAAGCAACATGATGGAGTTAGCGGCATTTCTTTTACAAACAGAGTTGTGACATACGGGATGAAATCTTTAGTTATTTTTGTTCTGTTACGCCAAAGAAGTATAACTTGTTACGTGCGTACATAAATACACATAGATATTTTTTTGTATATATATATAATTAAAATAAAACAACAATTCTATTATTTAAAGGATATTTATTGACTTAAAAAGCTATATAATAATGCAAACGCGGCCAAACTCTCATAATTCAAGTCAAAATCGATATTAAATCAAGTTTCAAGTCAAATTTTTCCGAAAAAAAAATAGTAATACAACTTTAGTACTGACAAATTCATAAAAAAACCATTTTTAATCCCATTCTTATGTATGTATGAGTCATACATTTAATGAGTATTACGTCTGTACCAAAACCTTGCTCTATAGTCATCGCTACACGTCAAAAATGCTGGGGCAGTACCCGAATGCACTATATACCTGAAAAATTAAAAAAAATATGTGTATATTATTGAAAACAAAAAACTTAATATATCAATTAACAAGAAATATAGACTGAATTTATATACATGTAAAAATTTACATGAATTCATGGTAATTCTATACAAATAAATAAAATTGAATTGTCTGTTTGTAATATCATAATAACAGCTTTTTACTAAATGCATATGAAAGTATATACGGTAGGTACTCTTATAAGAAAAACTCAATTTTAAAAATTTTTGTTTGTCTGTCTGTTTGGTCCGGCTTATCTCCAAAACGGCTATACCGATTTTGACGGGACTTTCACTGGCAGATAGTCAATTTTATAAGGAGTAACTTAGGCTACTTTTATTTTTAACAACGAATTAGGGTTCCTCGCGAAAAAATAAAACCGAAACCGAGCGAAGAGTGAATAAGTCACTAGTTTACACATACATATACGCATCTGGGTATATTGTTATTTTAGCCTAGCGATATATTCTTCGTTTTCATCAACTTCATCATCATATTTAACCATTTCACGCCAATAATCATCCCACGGGAACGCTCATATGTGATTTTCTGATATCAAAATATTTTATTTAATCTAAGTTTTATCAAAATCCGACAGTTGACTGAATAACAAACATATTTATAACAATATTCTCTTTTATATATTAAACATGTATTTATTTACCTAACAGCCCCATTATGCCCCAAGGACATAAGCTGACAACGGCTCGCACTTCTCGAATGCCACGTGCAAAGTGAAGTAGTCGCTTCGTCGGGAAACATCACATAGTCCTCCGTGTGATTGAACACTGCTTGGGCATGATGCTCTTGCTTACCTGGTTTTATGAGAAAAAATAAAAAATAGATTAAAAATACAAAACATTTCTACATGGACATCTTAAATTATAATTATTTAAACAAAACTATCTAACTATCGGGTGAGACCGACTCTCCCGTGACCATGATTGCTGTAAAGCAATCGAAACGTCGGGAACCAAAAATCAAAATAAATCCGATTCTTATATCGAATGCAGAACACACATAGTATTCAGCCTTTTTTTAACGTCCCACTGCTCACTGCTGCAGGCAGGTCTCTCTTCAATACGAGGGGGATTAGACCATAGTCCACAACGCTGGACGAGTGCGGACGGACTTCACATGTCTTTCGACATCTTGTTAGGTTCTCATAGACGTGCAGGTTCTCGATGTTTTCCTTCACCGTAACGCAAGGGGTAATCATGTTGGAAATGATTAGCACATGAAAATATCAGAGGTGCGAGACCCGGGATTTGAACCCGCTTCACTCGGTTTTCCAAGCGAGCGAATACCTTATTATTAGTCCAAAAAGTGTATACATTGCATAGATATGTTACTAACCTGTAGTCCCCGCCCCAGTGTATTGTATAAGACACCGACTGCTCGCCAATTCCCATAATTTAATCGACGAATCCATACCAGATGTTAGGAGATACTGAAAATAGAACATTTATACATCTTCGAAGAGCCTATATACCTTAAAAAATATTTTTCGGATGATTTTTTAGATCATTCTTCTTTATCTATACATATAATAAAATTCTAACTGAGACAAATCTGTACATTACCTATAAAAGGAATATCTTATTGAAGCAGTCATTATTATTGATAGAGAGGCTGAATCTATAGTTTTTAGAATTTTTGTCTTTCTGTCTGTCTGTGTATCTGGGAACGCATCACGAGAAAACCACTGAACAGATTTTGATAAAATTTTGGTATGATGATAGCTGATTATCCGGGTCAACATATAGGATACTTTACTGCGAGAAAATATCTCTGAGAAACTTACATAGGGACGAGCACGAGAGGAACAAAGGTGAGTCGCTAGTGATTAATATAATTATATATAAATTATTTCTTCGAAGTATTAAACCTGTTTATTACCAGACGAAAACTGCATAAACTTATTATATATATATATATATATATATTTGGGTCCCAATAAACATAGAGTACGAACTCAAAAAAAAAATAAAAAAATATATAAGTTCAGATTGAGAAAAACTACAAATAAATAAAAATATATTTAAAGCCACAAATACCTTGCTATTTCTGGTAAAAGCCACCGAACACACCTCAGCCCCGTCGTGGGCGTTAAATGTGTTGAAACATCTGTTAGACACTGTGTCCCACAACTTGACCGTACCATCGGCACTACCACTCGCAAAATATTTACCGTTCGGGGAAAACCTGGTAAAATGACATTAAAATGGTAAAATATATTTAAAACTATATTTATAATAAGATGGTAAGCAACGGTAATAGTCAAAATAACGATAGCATCACTAGCTATAAAATTTTCTATTCCATAGCGTTTAAAGTTATTTCATATATTTTATCAATGTAATTACATGGATAAAGTATATGTACTTCAATATTTTAAAATTGTATAATTTGTGCGAAAATAAATAAGACGGACAAAAAATTTAACACATTTTTAAAGTTAAAGCTTTAACTCATTCCCTTGATGCTGCATTCTTGTATAAAGTACAAAGTCAGCCCCAATCATTTATATACCTATAGATAGATACATATAAAATATTGAAAAAATAAAGAAGGAAATGGAAATCAAATATATATCACTTACTTAATACTATTAACTTGTTTCTTATGATGGTGCGACGGTATGGGGCAGACGAAACACTGACTCGTAGTGACATCGTATAGCCGTATCACGGGGTGAGTGGTAGATGCTATGATGTGATCTCCGAGAGGATGGAAAGCTACGCAGAGCACCTGTTCTGCATCCTAGGAAACGATAAACAAAAAAATAAAACGTTGATAAATAAAAACATTGATTTATAAAAACATAGATAACCATTTCCTAACAAATATATTTTCGAAAAGTGGCGTCGACATGTCACGTTAAGTCAAAATAAAGAATAAAATTCAAAAATCGAATTTTCTAATTGTCTAGACACAAATTAGAACTTACGCACACCACATAAAGTACTTTTTTAACTGAAACAACGTGCTTTTGAATTTTGTCATCCGAAAAGCAATGAACAAAAGAGATTTGAAAAAAGTTAAAATAATATACATACTGTTATAGACTTATAAGCTTTTTTAGCGGAAGCCTTCGTTATGTCAAACAATTTGATGCAACAGTCCCGGGATGCTGACACCAAGATTTGCTCTCGGGGATGAAAATCTAACGCTGTTATTTCATCTGTATGGTCATATCTGAAATAATTTACTTTTTTATTTTTTTTATATAATACTAGAAACCTACCCTCGCTTTGGTCGGGTGCGTGCGTGCGGGTTACGCGGATTTTGTTCACAATTTCATAAGCTTAAATTTTTTCTAAATTAAAAGTTAAACTTAGGCTAAATTACTCTAAATAATTAAATCTGTCAGTGAAAGTCCCGCCAAATTAATTCAGCCGTTTCGAAGATTAGCCGGAACAAATAGACAGGCAGGCAAAAATTTAAAAAATTGTTTTTTCTTATAAATACCCAATATACTTTCATATGTATTTACTTAAACCTGTTATTTTGATATTACAAACAGACACTTCAATTTTATTTATTTGTATAGATAGTAGTAATACAAAGAGTAGATTTTTTCTACGAATTTCCAGTAAGCCCCATACGGCTTATGTGTTAGGGACAAATGTAGTTAGCACTTATATCATAACAATGTTGCAAATAAGGACAAGCAAACATACAGAAAAAAAATGATTTTAAAAGTTATGTTTTTTATCTATCCCTTATTGTCCCTTAAAAAGGGATGATGGTTTTATTTTTTAAAGAAAAATATTTCACCTCACTGGCCAACTGTTTACTTTGTTTTATGGTTATTTTAATAATCATTAAACAGCTGCATAACAAGCTGTTTTTTAAGAAAAAAATAATTAAAAAATTAGAAAAAAATACATTTCATACACTTACAAAGTTCGTATAACAGGATGTCCTTGTTGCTCTCTCCCCGGATCCACTTCTTCAGGGGCTGACTTTGCCAACATACGCTCTACATCCAATATCTATAATATTTGCATTATTAGTTTTACTTTACATACTAGGACAGAGATCGCTGGTTCGATTATCACAGGAGATATCATTATACAATTTTAATCCATAAAAGTTTATTTGTATATTTAAAATATTAAATAGGATAAAAAAAATAGTCACAAAATACCAAAATTAAAAATGACTCTAATGATCTAAAAGTTTAAACATTAAACATAAAAAAAACATTTCATTGTACAACCAACCATAAAAAATACAGACTTATAATAAATAATAATAATAATATATGAAAAATATATTTAACCTTTATACTAGCATCAACACTACCAGTCGCCACTAGCTGTCCGCACGCACTGAACGCGCCCGCGCGACACGCCATCTTGTGTGACGTCACGTACGCCGTCTCATACGTCGCAGGCTCCGGGGCAAGGGATGACGCGTCCATTTCAAACTCCAAATCTTTAATAATATTAGTAATTAGCAATTATATTATACTACTAAGTCTTAGAAAAATAGCCTAAGTCACTCCTTATAACATCAGCTATCTGCCAGTGAATGTCTCCTCAAAATCATTCCAACCGTTTCAGAGATTAGTTGGAACAAACAGACATACAGACAGGCAAAAAATTTAAAAATTGTGTTATTCTTATAATTATTATTGTATATAATTTTGTATGCATTTAGTATAAAGCTTTTATTTTGACATTACAAACACACTATAATTGTGTTTATCACCAATAATCCAATCATCAAAAATCAATGACATACCAAATCCTGTAGTTCCGAGTAAATGCTCCGCACCACTAGATGCTGCCAGTCTGTCTTTTCTGTCTGGCTCATGTTGAAGACCAACCATCATTAGGTTGAGTAATCTGTAATTCAAAAAAATATTTTTTCAAATCTGTCTAGTGGTTTCTAAAGGCTGTGGTAGCCCAGTGGAATTGCTCTTGTGAAATCAAATAAAGCAGGTTCAAATTCGGGAGATTGCACCTCTGATATTTTCATGTGGGAATCATTTCCAATATGATAACCACTTGTGTTATAGTCAAGGAAAACATTGTAAGGAAACATAGATATCTTAGAGAACCTAACAAGTTTTCAAAGACATGTGAGCTCCACCAAACCTCACTCGGCCAGCATGGTGGAGTCTGATCCCCCTGGCATTAAAGGGAGGCCCAAGCCGAAGATGTTAAAAAGGGCTGAATACAATCTATTTAATATCATTTTAATGAGATTCAATATTTTACTTCTTTAATAAAAAAAATATTATTTTAAAATAATTTATTAGTAAAATATGGGTTGGTTTAAATCTTAGATATTTTCATGTAAATTTTCTCAAAGATCTAGAATCTCATAATCTCGAAGATTTTTAATATAGATAAAAATGGAATTTATCATAGTTGAATTTGTTGTTATTAATTTATTAAATAAGACTTCATTTTTTATATGTAACATACCTGTCACTCGGAGGACATGGTGGATCAGCATGCACAGTAGCAGATAATGTTGCGGCTATAGGTTGAAATCCATCATAGTGAAGTTGACTGAAAAGAAAAAAAACAATTTAACTACACACGATTCCATAATATTAAATATAATTGCATAAGCTTTTAAATTACGGCTCAAATTTATAATAATCAAAAACTGTTAATAGTTCACTTATAAACAATTTATATATATAATAGATATTGTAAACAAAAATAACCTCGAAACGTTGCATTCTATTAAAAGGAGAATTTAATGTAAATACGCAAGAAATATATTATAAGCAATCGAAATTTAACTAAAATATATACGTTAAATTGTATAATAGACACGTTTTTACATAAAAATATAATAAATAATCAACAAAACATAGGTTTCTGTATGTTTTAAGAATTCACCTTATAATCATACGATATAGAAGTTCTCTGTTTTTTACTACATTCCTCGTGTCCACATCGCCTGTTGGAGCCGCAGCAGGAGGAGTATCTTTCATTTTATCTTCTGTGTCGGACGAAATTTTGAAAGATTTTAAAAAACCGGCGTAAAAATGCTATGCACTTTTGATGCAAAACACAAACTGACAGCGTCAAACGAAGTGACGTTTATCTGTAGTCTATAGTATTCTACTATCTATGATTACGTTTTGAGGTTTTAGTTGTTACAAATATTATTTATTAATTTTAATACAAAGCTGGCGTAAAATGCACGTAATAGAATGAGCCAGAATGTTTTTTTTTCTTCGTATCTTTAAAATCAATAGTTCCGCTCATGCGTCGATGTTCAAGCAGTCTAATGAAGGGATCACATCTAAGCTTTGGATGTCTATCCATACAGAAATGTTTAATGAAACGAAACTAACAATTCACTGAACTACGTTATATAGAACAAATGCTCATATTCATTTACCGTAAATAATTATTACAAGATCCATAATTATATTACATTATTTTTTATACACATTATCTTAGTAATAAGTATTATAACCCCACAATAATAATAATATATATTACAAATGTAAAAGTTTGGATGGATGTTTGTCAGTTTAATCACGCCGGAACGGTTATACGGACTTTCGAAAAATTACTTACTACTTACTTACTACTATCTAAAATCTTATTAAAACTAAAACTTTGATTTAATTTAGATAGTAACACATTTTGATTTGATAAGCATTATTATTTTAATGAACCAACTAGGTACTTACATCGATAGTAACAATTTTAATTTTACAATATTCGTTTAAATATACATATAGTGTACGTTTGTCTATAAATCACGTACTCGTATAAATATGAAATGCGATTTGTATCTTTGAATCTACCAAGCAAATTAAAATATTTATTTACCTAGCACTACGCTTTTTAAAGTTTTTTTTTGTTAGCAATTAGATACTGGTTAGTGAGGTAGTATCTAAAACAATATATAATTTTTAACCGACTTCCAAAAAGGAAGAGGTTCTCAATTCATCGGAATCTTTTTTTTATTTATGTTCACCGATTACTCGAAGACGCCTGAACCGATTCAGATTTTTTTTTGTTTAGAAGGGTATACTTCCCAGGTGGTCCCATTTAAATTTTAATATCGAAATCGGTCGAGCAATAAAAAAGAATCAACAATTAATTTTTTTTTAAATAAATTGCTTAATCGAAAGCTTAAAAAAGTTAACTTTCTTTTATCACCTCCAGGTACATTTCTAAGAAATTAATTAAAATTCTAAGAAATCTATTGTTAACTGACAAGCCGGTCGTGGACGGATTATGGTAAAAAAAAAGTTTTCACCTTTACAACTTTATGTTCGAGTCTTCCCAGTAAGTGATCCGAGGACACTTGTGTTGGGAATGGCCCACTTCTTCCCATACGCATACTCTATTATTATGAATTGCTTATTCCACTACAAGTTAATAGAACCTCAATTTCTTGAAAAAATTTCGATACAAAGCTATATTAATATTATAGATAAATGTTTGTTGAGCTCAATTTATTTCCACAGGTACTATTGACTGGGTGCCGTTGCGTCGAGCTGGACTGTTGGGATGGAGACGACGGTAATCCTGTCATATACCATGGACATACCTTCACTACAAAGATACCATTTAGACGAGTGGTCGAAACTATTGCAAGGTTTGCGCGATGAAAAAATATGTAATCGTTTAAATTTTTGGCTATCAAATTTTATATATTTACAAAAAATTTATGGAAGTTAAAATTAAGCTGAGCTTTATGATTTTTTAAATAATATTTTCAATAAAACGTTATTATATGATTTAGGCCACGGAGACTAATTTTACGGAGACTAGTTATCCCCGTAAGTACTGTCAGTCTGAAAATTCTTCTAACTCTGAAAATTACTGGAGGCAATTTAATGAAAGAAAACTCCAATGGACGCCTATGAACCGCGCCTAAATTTATAATAATAAATATTTTCTTTTTCAAGGAGTGCATTTGTAGCATCGCCATATCCTCTCATCTTGAGCATAGAGAACCACTGCAGTCTGCCTCAACAACAAGTCATGGCAAGCACGTTTGAGGTCAGTTATTTGAATAATAATTATTTATATTAAAAAAAAAATACTAGCGATACTACTGATGTTGTGTTTTGATAAACTTATCTATGTTCTAATCCAGCATATAAACTATTTCCATTCGACTTTCAATAAAATTACAATTAACCATTAGTTTAATCTTGATTATATGTCTTTCTACAAACCGTTGTTTCGATAGACTCATCTTTCATTCTAAATATATGCTTGCGCAAATTCACCAAGCTTCAGCAGAATATTTTGAACCCGCTGCAATTTTTTTATACAGATTTTAGTGATGCCAATGTCAAAATTATCTTTAAAACTGAAATAAATAAAAATATAATTGCACATGCTTTACTAACTCTGTCTTCATCCAGGCAGTGTTTGGAGAGCAACTGGTGACGTCGTTTCTCTTCGAAGTGGACTATACGGATGACCCGCGACTGCCGAGCCCTGAACAGCTAAAATATAAGGTCATTCATTAAAAATATACTATCTATACATATAATAAAATTGTAACTAAGCCGAATCTGTACATTAAATATTTTTTTGGAAAATCTTATTGAAATAAATATTATTATAGATACAGAGGCCGAATGTATAGTTTTTAGAATTTTTGTCTGTCTGTCTGTCTGTCTGTTACTGCATCACAGAAAAACCACTGGAGGGATTTTGATGAAATTTCGTATGGTGATAGCTGGTTATCCGTGTCAACATATAGGATACTTTTTATCGCGGGAAAATATCTCATTTCTGAAAAAAAATACAAAAAATGCATTTTTAGAGTAATCTAATATGTAAAACCTAAGAATTTGGTTTTTGGTCATCTGAACGCGGGCGGAGTCGCGGGCAATGCTAGTCTATTATATTTTTTGTAACTTCACAACTAACAATTTACAGGGTGAAAATATAGAATATAGAAATTTAGGTCACAAAGTTGGTTGATTTTGTTAGCCAGATCTAGTGGTGAAAGATGAAATTTTATGCATAAAAAACTGGAAATTTTTGGTACCTGCAGGTAAAACGACCCCAAAAAATTACACACCGTGCTGTGCTGTAAACTAAAACCTAGAATTTTGTCATCAGAAGAAATAAGTAGAATTTCACTACTTCATACATAGACATACTGATGAGTGGAACATAGTGTCACACAGATTATATAAATCCTTCTCCACTTCAGTTTAATATTCATTGTCTTAGCGTAATTAATGATTTAATAATACAAGAATAGAATTTGAATATATTATGATAGAAAACTCGCCAAAAATACTTGATGCTTTGCAAAAATATTTATTATTACTAATATTTCTATAGTAAGGTCCAAGCATAATGATTTTTATTTGAAGCAAAATACAAGTAAACAATAATTTTATATATTTTGTAAGGAGATATAGAATTACGATTATTTTAAATTGAAATAATAAAAATCGATATTTGTTATTGTTTTAGGTCCTGATAAAAAATAAGAAATTGCTACCAGTTGAATCAAGTCCTACCATAGGGTTGACGGGGACGAGTTCAGCTCAGGGTTATGGAGGGGTCTTGGTTACCGCTTTCAGGTGGGTTAGCTTACGTCAATGTACCTTTAGTGGGGGGGGGGGTAACAAATACTGAATAAACACTTAAAAAAAACGACTTCCAGGCACTAAAATGTAAAAAATAACTAAACGGGGGTTTTCATTTAGAATAGATACCTAATCAGATATTTTCGAAGTCGGTGCCAGCCGACGCAAAGGAAATCTAGTATATTTTAATACGTTAAATACATATTTTATGTATTTACCTATTAGATAATCATATATTAAAATATTGTCCGCTTTTATATTTTTTGTGTAATTTTTTAGTGTAATAAGTAGGTAATTTGTAGGAAGAAACTTTTTAATAACATACTCGTACGTATTCGATTAAACAATTTGTTTAAAAAAATATATTTATTGTTGATTTTTTTTAAGACCGCTCGACCGATTTCGATAAAATTTATATGGGACCACCTGGGAAGTATACCCTTTCAAACAAAATAAAAATTTTCCAAATCGGTTCAGACGTCTTCGAGTAATCGGTGAACATACATAAAAAAAAGAAAAAAAAAAGATTCCGACGAATTGATAACCTCCTCCGTTTTGGAAATCGGTTAAAAAGAACGTAATAAATTAAAGATTTCTTGGAAAATCTTCTGAATAACTTGATCAGATCTTCTTTAAATGGTGGCCATATTTCCTGGTAACAAGTCGCAGTATCTGTTAACTTCGGGCAATAAAAATCATTACATACTTAAAATAAAATTTTAACTGAGTCGAATCTGTAGGCATTAAATATTTTCTTCGGAAAATCTTATTATTATCGATACAGAGGCCGAATCTAAAGTTTTTACAATTTTTGTCTGTCTCTCTGTCTGGGACAGTATCATAGGAAAATCGCTGGACGGATTTTGATGAAATTTGATATGGTGACAGCATATCAAAAATCTAAACGGCTTAATACTTATAATCGGGTAGAAAATCAAAATCGGTCTTGATATCCAGGAATACAAAAACTGTCCACCCTTTGTCAAACATTTGTGTTTGTTCGAGTTAATCTTAGAAACTGTTGAACGGATTTTCATGCGGCTTTCACCAATGTAAAGGAATTATCTAGAAAGTTTATATGTTAAGTATATTATATGAACATTTTAAGAATATAAGTTACCTTTATTTATATCTGTAAATTAAGTCAGAAAATGTCATCCCTACTCGGAGCTTCCATTAAATAATAAAAACAAAGAGCAATTAGAAGTACACTAGTCTCTACAAATATATGAAATTGAAGTGTCTGTTTGTAATGTCAAAATAACAATTTTTTACTAAATTTGTATGAAAATATATATACGGTACTTAATACTAATAACAATTTTTTAAAATTTTTGCCTAACTGATTGTTCTGGCTAATCTCCGAAACGGCTGCACCGATTTTAAAAGGACTTTCACTGCCAGATAGCTGACGTTATAAGGAGTAACATAGGCTACTTTTATCTAAGAAAAAGAATTAAGATTCCGCGCAAATAAATTAAAAGTCGCACTCAAGCGAAGCGAGAATAAGCCGCTAGTATTAGATAGAATTATTAACTTACAAGGCTTAAATATTCCAAATCTTTACTACATTCTATGAACAAAAACATATTTTTTTTAATTTTAACTATATAGATCCAATGGTATTCGTCACACGAGTTCGTCGCTTCCCGACGCAAGCAACCGAACCAGCTCGATCATGTCGAACCAATCCGCTGGTTCCTCTCTCACTGAGTATTTCTCCGACGAAGATTACGACGAAGATGACGACATTGACGGTAATTAAAATTAGATTTTCTTATCTAAAGTTAACCGTTTTGTCGATATCAAAAAGATGTTTTTTCTAAGTAAATCATTATACACCAATGATTAGATATTTGAAAGTGAAACCCATCATATTATACTTTATTAGATTTAGGCGAATATTTGACATCTTATAATATAAAAATGAATCGCTGAATGTGTTGGTAAGCGCAAATCTCGAGAGCAGCTGAACCGATTTCGCTGATTCTTTTTTTAGAATATTCCTTGAAGTACGCAGATGGTTCTTACGGAGAGAAAAAATTAAAAATTTACCTGAAAAAGGCTAAAAACAACACTTTTCTATACTCCCATACAAAAAATTCGTAATAGTACTTAAAAGTCAATTTGAACTTTAATACCATACCATAAAGTTTAAGTGTTAGTGGAGAGGTTCCGGGAAGACAAAACAATTGAATGACGTTAGTATCGTATAAGTATTAAGCTCAATATTTGTGAATATTATTAACAAAAAAATTTAGACTAACGCTAGCTAATAACTATTTATATCTATTTAAAACGTACCTAGCGACAAACCCGAGCGAAGCGAGGGTGAGCCGCTAGTTTTAAATAAAACTATCTAACTAAAAAAAAATATTCTTAATGGTTATACAATAGGTATTATATATGTATAGTATTATATATTTTTATAAGTAATATATGTACATATGTATGTATGTATGTATGTATATGTGATTATTATTACCTTTATTTCTAGTATATATTTAGTATATTTTTTGCACCATATTGCCCGCTGACATGTTCTTCCACAACCAGGGGTTGACTGGAAGAGATCTCTTTTAGAGATAAGTCCACCTTTGTAAACTATGTTTACATTGTTATTTTTTTTCTATATCATATTTTAAGTGCAATAAAGAATATAACCATACATAATATAATAATAGCAATACTAAATAATATTAGTAATTAATAAAGTTTTTAAAAATTGTCATATTTATAATAATAACAGCTAAAATTAAATAAATAATATTGCTATATTTAATTATAATACTTATGTTTTTTTCAAATGTTTAGAATTAAAAATCAACAAATATTGTAAGGTACTTTATTGCCATTTTTGAATTTTTGAAATCATCTTTGTAAAATAGTAGGTAGGTGCTGTCTGTAACAAGTATGTGTTTGAGACGTCTATAACCTTAGTCTCTCCCGTGACAATGATTACTGTAAATCATTCGAAACGTCGGGAACAAAATAAATTGGCGAAATAATCTAAAAAAATAGTATTATTTAAAAAGTCTTTAGTCTGAATTTCAATTTAATGAAATATGGTCGACTTTAACTAGTAATCATTAAATCAATGAAAATCCACGTTGAGAACACCGGAAATACTAATTTTCAGAGAGAGAACTACACAAAATTCTCAATTCAATGGAGGAGAAGGTCGGTCGTACATCCTTCTCACTCTACCAGAGTTTTCGTAGGAGTGAGGCAGAAGAAGCTACTGGGGCCATGAAACATACAAATAGAAAACGAAGTAATCAAATTGCAAGGGAGCTTAGCGATATGGTCACCTATGTCCAAGTGAGTCTACTTATTAATTAAATGGTATATATCTATGCATATAATAAAATTCTGGGTCAAATCTGTACATTAAATATTTTTTGTAAAATCTTATTAAAATAGACATTATTATCGATACAGAGGCCGAATCTATAATTTTTATAATTTTTGTCTGTCTGTCTATCTGTCTGTCTGTTACTGCATCACGGAAAAATCACTGGAGGGATTTTGATGAAATTTGGTATGATGGTAGCTGGTTATCCGGGTCAACATATAGGATACTTTTTAATGCGGGAAAGTATCACATTTCTAAGAAAAAATACAAAAACTGCAATGTAAGAGTATACTAATATGTAAAACCTAAGAATTTGGTTTTTGGTCATCTAAAAGCGGACGGAGCTGCGGGCAATGCTAGTTATATATATAAAAAAATTCTAATTTAATAATTAATGTAGGTACATGTCATATTCGCATGGAATTGTGGCAAGAATGCTAGCCGCATTTCCCCGCTGAATGTCAATGCCGATTATTTGACCGAAAATTGAGCCATCTCTCCTCTCACCAGTAGAGGGGATAAGACGAGGTGTTATGTCTTTTAACGTACGTTTTAATATTATAATTCTACAGGCAATAAAGTTTCGTGGCCTCAACCCTATCTCACCGAGAAGCTCCATCAAGCACCCCAGTAATGTGAAAGACAACAGCTCGAGTGGAGCCGCGTGTAGCTTTGAATCTTCTGAAAGCAGCGATAGTGCTGGGACGGTATTTACATTTTATTTTCTACACTAATATTATTAGAATTAGAGTTTAATATATTTTTTATTACAATTTTAATTTAGATATATCTAATAATCTATACATATAGTAATATATAGATATAGTCATTATTATCGATATAGAAACCGAAAAAACTAGTTTTTTAGAATTTTTGTCTCTGTGTTTGTCTGTCGGAAATGCATCCCGAGGAAACTACTGGACAGATTTTCAATAAATTTGTTACGATGATAGCTGGGTATCCGGATCAACTTATAGAACTTTTTATTGCGGGAAAATATCTCCTCATCTCTTGGAAATCTATCTTAACCGTTAAGACGTAACTAGGGACTTTTTCTTAAGATATGCATGCGTGAACGTCAGAATATGGTTTATAGAAAAACATAAAATAAAAAAGTTACCAGTATAAATAGAAATTTTTTAGAATTATAAAAAAATATATATTAACAGAAACGTCCAATCCTCCTGAATATTTTATTTTAATTTTTGTTTTTATAGCAACTACTGATAACCAGTCAACACTCTCGCGCTCGATGCCTCAACACACCCGCCGCGCACCACCCCTGCTATAGATGTTCGTCCGTAAATGAAGCGATAGCTAAGAAAATATGCCGAAAACACCCCCTAGCCCTCATCGCGCATACTGAAACTCAGCTCGTAAGGACTTATCCCGCCGGGTAAGTACGAATAAATATTATTAGTTTATTGAAGTTATTTTTCTTTTGGCACGTTTGGAAAAAATTATGAGAGTAAAATTTTTACGATGCGCGCGCACACTGACAGCCAAAAAGCGACATGATGAAGTTAACCATCATGTACCATGTCATCATTTGCCATGGTAACCGTAGTGATTGTCTGACAAATGATATATGTATAATATTAAGATGATAATATTCTTTCCTTAAATGATCTATACATCTTTATATATATAATTCTTCTGTAAGTGTGTATGTCACTGAACTTTTCTCAAACGACTGGACCGATTTTGATGAAATTTTTTGTGTGTGTTCAAGGGGATCTGAGAATGGTTTAGATTCACAATTTGAATAATAATTTTCATCAAAAAAAATTATTAAAAAAAGTTTGAAATTTTCAAATTAAAGACGTGTAGACAGGACAACGTTCTGTCGGGGTCCGCTAGTATATGAATAAAATTCAAACTGAGTCGAATCTGTACATTAAATATTTTTTGGAAAATCTTATTGAAATAGTCATTATTATCGATACAGAGGCCAAATCTATAGTTTTTATAATTTTTGTCTGTCTGTTACCGCATCACGGAAAAACCACTGGGGGGGATAGCTGGTTATCCGGGTCAACATATAGGATAATTTTTATCGCGGGAAAGTATCTCATTTCTGAGAAAAAATACAATAACTGCAATGTAAGAGTATACTAATATGTATAACCTAGGAATTTGCTTTTTGGTCACCAGAATACGGGCGGAGCCGCGGGCAATGCTAGTATACCTACTCTTACATATTTTTCTCAGAAATGAGATAGTTTCCCGTGGTAAAAAGTATCCTATATGTTGACCCGGATAACCAGCTATCACCATACCAAATTTCATCAAAATCCCTCCAGCGGTTTCTCTGTGATGCGGTAACAGACAGACAGACAAAAATTCTAAAAACTATACAATCGGCCTCTGTAACGATAATAATGTTTATTTCAATAAGATTTTCCAAAAAATATTTAATGTACCATGCAATGTTCCCCAAAATTTAACTTTGGATCCGCGCCTGCCACCTAGGCCATCACAGATCTAAAATATAGTATATTAGTGCAGAAGGAGATTAGAGTAATACACCACAAAAATTTCTCCATCCGCCACGTGAGATGATGAGGAAAGAAAACTCTCTTTTTCAGCCTAAGAATAGACTCATCGAACTTCGATCCTGTGACCTTCTGGTCGTGTGGTGTACAACTCGTCGCTCTCAACTATCAGACTGAAGACGCAGCGATGGCGGTAAATGCCGCTATGTACGAAAGCAATGGCTGCTTGGGTTACGTCCGCAAACCACGTGTTATGTGGGACCCTAACCATATTGCTTATAGACGGTGAGTTTTTAAAATTAATTTTAGTATCAGAAAATGGTACTTGAGGAATCGTATCTTATAATTCACTAGCGACTCACCCTCGCTTCGCTCGTGTTCGTCTCTAGATACGTTTTAACGGTTAGTATGAAATACAAATCTTTGAATTTCTCGGCTTTTCTGTACTATAATATGCATGTTTTATACATATAAACCTACCTCATGAATCATTCTATCTATTAAATAAAACCCCATCAAAATCCGTCGCGTAGTTTTAAAGATCTAAGCATACATAGGGACAGACAGACAGCGGGAAGCGACTTTGTTTTATACTATAACTAGCATTGCCCGCGGCTCCGCCCGCGTTCAGATGACCAAAAACTAAATTCTTAGGTGTTACATATTAGTATACTCTTACATTGCAGTTTTTGTATTTTTCCTCAGAAATAAGATATTTTCCCGCGGGGTAAATAAAAAGTATCCTAGGATCGCGCGCTACATCGCCCGGTTTATATAGCTTGAGCAGGGCGGTCGAGCGATGCGGGGCAGAGGGGATGGACTCGCCGTAGGCATCTCAATGCTCGCCAAGCATTAAAAAATGTTTCGCTACTAATTACTTCTAAACAACGATATCTCAAAAACTTATTCATCTGATTGATTTAGTGTAAAGAGCAATTTTAATCTGCATTAAATGACTAAAGCTAACTAAAATATTCATTTGGATAAGGATTAATACCGAACTAAAGAAAATAACTCGTGAAAATAACGTAATGTTTTTAATTAAAAATGTTAACATAAAAGTGGTTATTGTAAGTCAACCGTAAGAGATAGAGATATGCTATCGCGGACTTTTTTGTAGCATTTTTATAGATTTTTGAATTCTCTAGTACATTACTTAACTGTATCTTTGCTAGTTTACGCGGCGTTCGCGTGGAAAGTTCCCATTTGGCGAGATTTTTTTGCGACCTCTTCAACATTTGTCGCCCGTATTTCAGCTAATTTACATAAAAGCATAATAAATATTATATACCTAAACCTCCTCAAGAAGTTACTCTTTCTATTGTTGAAACCCGTATAAAAATCCGTTCAGTAGTTTTCGAGTTTATCGCGTACAGACAGACAGGAGGACAGACAGGAGGACAGAAAGACGCGGCCGGGGGACTTATTTTTATAATAAGTATAGATTACTATATAATGATAAATCAAAAGCACTTTTATAAGACTAATAGAAAAAAAAGTAATTAAGTAAATTTATGTATATTACATTTTAATATTTTTGGAATCTACTACCGAAAAATCTTTTTATTATAATCGTTTGTTATTATAAGATGGCGATCATATTTAGAGATTGAGAATTAAATTGATAAAACAGAAATTAGTCATAAACTTACAATAAGAAGTATCTACGTACATATATACATACATACATACATACATACATACATACATACATACATACATACATACATACATACATACATACATACATACATACATACATACATGCATACATACATACATACATACATACATACATACATACATACATACATACATACATACATACACACATACATAGGTACATACATACATACATACATACATACAAAATATAACCCTTCATTCTTCCAGTTTCAACCCCATGGATAAAGAATTCGATGGTATTCACGCGGCACACCTCACCCTCGCTGTCATCTCTGGTCAATATGTCGCCGAAAACGTATACTCCTTCTATAATGCGTATGTGGAAGTAGAAATTTTGGGTGTTCCAGCGGACTGCAGGAAAATCAAAACGAGGGTGGCTCGCAGAAATGCTTTGAATCCTATATGGAATGAAACATTCACATTTAAAGTAAGTTTTAGTTAGGGTTAATTTCCTTCTTCCCTATAACATAAATAACAATTATAAAGAAATAAAATATAAAATGAAATATTCATTTTAATGAATAAAATAACAATTACTGTTTGTGTATTTGTGCTTTATGATTATTTCAATAAACAAAAAATGTGGCCATGGACTTCATTTTGAAAATCAGCGGAAAATTTAGCATAAATATGAAGCAAGATAGATAAATATGGTTTTAATAGATATCGTCAGCGCTGGATTTATACAAGGGGCTAGTGCCCAGGGCGGGAAAATTCGGAGGGCGGGAAAAAAATTCTCTTCACGTTATCGAAAATTATTATTTTTTATTTTCCAAAAAAATAATAATTACAAAAATTAACTAGTGCATTTTTCGAAAATTTGAAATCATTTATAAACTATTTTTTTTGCATTTTTCAAAAAAAAATTATTAAAATAAAAAAAAACACCTATCAAACCTACTATTTTATGCAAAATTTCGATCTCTGAGCGGCATTTTTTACTATACCCAGGGGCGGCGGTAAGGTTGAATCCGGCCCTGGATATATTTAATCATATGTATATACAAAACAAATGTACATTTAATTATTATTACTGTACAAGTTATGTTTGCGTGGAATAGTGGCAAGAATGGTGTAATGCCAATTTTTTGAGTGAAAACTGCGCCAGCTCTCCTGTCACCAGTAGGGGCAATAAGACGAGGTGTTATGCTTAAAACGTGCTTAGCATTGTGACTTCATTGGCCAAGTTTCGTGTATTTGCCTTATTACACTTCAAGAACATAAATCATGATCTAAATCTAGAAATTAGCACTTCCGTAACCTATCCGTTAAATTAAGAATCTGATAGAAGTTTAAAGTTTTAGATAGCCCATCTGCCATGGGACAGAGTATATTAAGGAGTTGCTTCCCTAAATACTATCAGTTTTTCAATTTTGGCTCCAGCAATTGATTTCAACATTTGATTTCTTTAATTCCTATACTTTATTATACTTACAGATCAACTTTCCAGAACTAGCGTTCGTAAGATTCGAAGTATACGACGCAGATACAAATTATATGTTGTCCCAACGAGTCATACCGCTACAATGTCTTAGACCTGGATATAGGCATGTCAGATTGAGGTAAGTAAATAAAAATAAAGAAATAAAATTACATGCTATTTTCAAATTAACTTCCTCTAATGGAAGATTTCAAAAGTATCCGCAAGATAACTTCCGTGGTCGCTAGTATAGAAAATAATGCTTACACAATATCCTTTATAAATTATATATCTTAGCGTATCTTATTCTGTATTTAAAGTTCATATTTTTTGTATGTTTCAATCATCTTCCCGTTACTACCTTTGAGGGCCATTCCAAAACTTATTTGCTATTCTTTCAACGTTTACCCCATAATTACCCTATATTAATAGGATATATATTTTTGAATTTTTTTATTATCTAATAATGTTAATACTCGTATATCCAGCCCCTTTTTAACGTCCCACTGCTGGGCATGGTCCTCCATCAATGCGAGGGGGATCAGCCTATACTCCACCACGCTGACCAAGTGCGGGTTGGCGGACAGCTATTGGCGGAATGTTAATTATAATCTCTATTTCTAGATCACCAACAAATCAACCTCTGAACATGGCGTCTCTTCTAATATTCTCGCGTTGCACAGAGGAATTAGCAGGCGAAAGTTGTCGAGGAGACCCGGAACCAGGTTCTCCTACACAGAGGAGGAAGATTCACTTCCTCGTAGTTCATGCTGTGGTCTTACACGAACCGTATTCGATATTAAAAGTCACTCATGACACCACTACCACAGAGGTAAGTTTTATATAAGAGGTGTGTCCCATGATTCGTTTTAATTTTTTTGAGCGGAACCCTAATTATTTTTCTAAAATAAAAGTAGCCTACGTTACTCAAAAATCAGTCCAGCCGTTTCGGAGATTAGCCGGAACAAACAATAAACAGACAGACGGACAGACAGGCAGACAAAAATTTTAAAAATAGTTTTTTAAATACTGTTCTTAATTTCATAATATACATTCAGTAAAAAGCTGTTATTTTAACATTACTAACAGACACTTCAATTTTATTTAACTGTATAGACTAATTTAACTACAGTTATTTAGTAGTTTTATCTGAAAACTTTTCCCGGGAGTATTGAAAATTTATGGTTTGATATCTTCGCCGTTCGCGCCGCCATATTGGAAAATGGCGCCTAAAAACAGTTTTTTGACAATACAAAAGATTCTTTCCTGTTCATTAATAAGAAATAAAGAGACACGAATACTCCATTAAATTAATTGTAAACTATACGACCTAATCGTAGTCGTCAGGTTAAAAAAGGCACATATAATAATATCTAATAACTAAAGCCAGTCGCCTATAATTTACAGGCAATAGCTCAATGCCTAACAAAAGCTGGCGTGTGTCGATCATCAAGAGGAAGTTACGTGCTCGTCGAAGAAGTTCCCTCTCGAGCTCCAACTCAAAGAGTCCTGGCTCCTCATGAGAGGGTCCTGAAGGCTGCCACATCAAGACCTGGAGCCAAGTTACTGTTGAAGAGAGTTGGGGATGATCCCAGCAGTCGAGCCTGGCTAACAAGTATCAGGTAATTTACATCAAGATTTAGTCTATGTTTTATATCTCGCAAGTTAATCCTTGTTTGAAATCCTAGGAATTTTACAAAAAAATCGTAAGTTGTTTTACTCTATATCATGTAAATTCTTTTATATACATTATTTTACTATAACTATATTTATTTATTCTCTTTCTTCTTGATTGAAGTATATTAAAATAGAAACTTGGAAGTTGGAGCTATTTGAAAAAACAAAGACTGTACTATTATTACTTGAAATAAAACTCTCTTTTCGGACTACCCACATAATTACATACATTTTTTTTTGTTTAAATCATTGTGTACTTTTGTGAGTAGGCACTGTTTGTAACGACTACAATAAATGAGCTTTGATACGTCTAGAACCTCAGTCTCTCCCGTGACCATGTGCGCTGTAAAACATTCGAAACGTCGGGATCCAAAAATCTAAATAATTCCGCGAACAAACCCGCAAAAATAGTATTTAATATTATTTATTAAGTCAAATTCTCGCATTAATCTAGATTATATAATATAATTTATATTATATAATATAATTGGAATATTATATAATATAATTGGCAAAATAATATTTTTTTTTAATCTAATAGATCAGCATCATCTGACAAATCTCGAGATCACTCAGTTCCTTCTGATGAGGACTCAAGTACTCAAGAAGAGCCGAGGAAGCCTCCCGACAGCTTCCTAGTGTGCGTACATAATGTATGCCATGAAATACCTTATGCTATTTTAAAGGTGAGTAAATCTTTTTTAGTAACTTCAAAAGATTAAACCGGACCAGATTTGCATTACTAACAAAAAATTGTCTCTCGCAGGAATCGAACCCTATTATTAAGTTCATATATGAAACTTATTAACTTTGACTTACTTTCAGGTACCTTTAAGCGCTACAGCTTCTTATGTCATATATCAAGCTTTGACAAAAGCACGGTGTCATGATGACCCCAAAAGGTAAGACAGTATTTTATATAAAACTAGCCACATACCCTCGCTTCGCTTGTGTTCGTCCCTAGCTTGCTTCCCCATACAAACTTTTATCCCCTTTCTCACACCCTTAAGGGATGATTTCCGGTACAAAAACTATTTCACTCACTTTTTATATTAAATATCATCAAAAAAAATTCTTTTACTTTTCTTCTATACAAAACTTGTCTTGACAGTAACAAACACAAAACAAAAGAATTATCCAATTTGATGCAGTTGATCGGAAGTTATGCGCGTACATACATTTCGGTGATACATTTTTATTTACATAGATGATATGAAAATTTACTGCATTCAATCATACTTTTACATGAATTTTTGAATATAAACAGTTTTCGAAAACTTTCCAGTGAAAAACGGTAAGAAATATTAAGCTTGACGTATGATTTATTATTTTTGGTCCTTCGAGCCGGATTTATAATTGTATAAAAATTTAATTTATATTATTGACTTTATTATTTGTATTTGACTTTCACAAGGTTTGTCTTGGTGGAAGAACTAGAATGGGGTGGTAGAGCTGGAGCCGGCCCGCAACAACGAGCCTTAGCTGATGATGAAATAGTTTATGCTGCACAGGTAATTATTAAAATTTACATGACTAAACTTCAGTTTTTTTTTAGTTTTTATAAAATCTAACGAAACAATATAAATATAGAATAAAACAAAACGTTGTATACTGTTTACTCTTGACTCTATATTTTTATTTCAGGCAAGTTGGAAAACATTAGGCAGATTCGTATTACAAGAGAAAGGCAGTACTGTGCCTTTACCGCGACACCGCGCCTGCATCGCCAGGATACAGAGGGGATTGAGTATGACAAGAGGTGCCATTACCGGTAAGATTCAATGAATTATAAACAAAATAACTATTAAAGCAGATCATTTGTTGTATATTATGAATTTGAGGCAGTGGCTTATCAGAGGTAACGTGCTTCTTGGGAAACTGAGTGATGCAAGTCTAAATCACAGTCTCGCGCCTCTGATAGTATGTGCGAATCATTTCTAACATATTTATCACTTGTATTACGGTGAAGGAAAACATCGCGAGGAAACCTGCATGTCTGAGAGAACCTAGCAAGTTTTCGAAAGACATGTGAAGTTCCTAATTAATTATTCATCTATGGCATTCCATTACGATTCTGGTGGATATTCTGGCTCCTATAGTCGTGTGCAACAAATACGTCGTGTACAAAATAAATAGTAGGGGAGAGAAAAAATGTGGTATGCCTAGAAGCAGCTGTCAATATTTGAACTATTCGTTGCAACGAGTTAGAAAGTAATCTGCTACCATAATCTCATATGTGTCAGTTAATTTCCGAATAAAAATTAACTCCTATCCTTGTACACACGAGACCAAAATATAATTTACTGTCCCAAATAAAACACTTTTTTGGGATCTGCGTTTATTTTGATTTTTCATTTTTGACGTATCGGATGCTTTACAGTATCCTTTTAACAAATAGCCTATTTCTGATTTAAGAATATTCTTCTAGAATCGCTGTTTTACGTTCTTTTCTTCTTCGTTTTAATTCTTCTCTCCGATTTATGAGCTTTTATATTTTTTCAGGCACAACCGGCTTCCCACTCGGCGGTATAATGTCTAATGATAACGTATGCGAAGGAAAGACACCGGTACAGACCGCTTATAGTGACCCAACACACTGCAGGTACTATTGGAGTTAAATGAAATTAAAATATTAATATATAATTAATATTTAATTAATAATTATTATATATAAACTAGCATTGCCCGCGGCTCCGCTCGCGTTCAGATGACCAAAAACCAAATTCTTAGACCTTATATATTAGTATACTATAGTATACTCTTACATTACAGTTTTTGTATTTTTCTCAGAAATGAAATATTTTCCCGCGGTAAAAAGTATTCTATATGTTGACCCGGATAACCAGCTATCATCATACCAAATTTCATCAAAATCCGTCCAGTGGTTTTCTCGTGATGCGGTCACAGACAGACAGACAGACAGACAAAATTTCTTAAAACTATAGATTCGGTCTCTGTATCGATAATAATGTCTATTTCAATAAGATTTTCCAAAAAATATTTAATGTACAGAGTCGGCTTAGTTACAATTTTATTATATGTATAGATATATATGTTAGTTTTAAGGTATATATTATGCTATGGGCCTCTGTTTACATATTTAAGATTCTTATGTAAATATTGCCTAAATAAAAAATATGCCTGAATAGAAAATAATAAATAAATAAATAAATAAAATAATTAATTAATGGTCGAAATAGAGAAGTGGAGTATTTTAAACTTAAAAGAAATTTAGAAAGTTGTACCTTTCTTGTCATTTAAATTTTTGTATCATAAAAGGTTTTTACTCATTAAGTATGTTTTATTTTGGGAAATTCTCAAAATATGTGAATATTGAATTAAGTACCTAGTTTTAGTTGAAATTTTATTTTCATCTGTAAAGTACTCTTTTTTCGTATTTAACAAGGCTTATATACCTTCATAATTTTATAGAGTAATTAAACAGATTTATAATATTTTTATTTTTATATGTACCTACTGAATGCTGGTTCTGTACTTTAAAAAAAATACCTATAATTATTATATTTGCCTTATAGTCCATAATATATGCATTATTTTTGTATCTATGACGAAAAAATACGCCAAAAGTTGGTAAATTAATCAGTTTGAAATTAAAAAAAATAAAATATTAATTCTAACTTCTAGGAGAGTGTCAACGGCGCCATTGGGCAAAGGCATTGGAAGAGCTAAAGGGCACTCTGAGAAAGATATACATTCTCACGGGCAAAGACGGTCAGGTTCAAGAGAGGTGTGTATAGTAATCCTTAGATCCCATAAACACAAGTACAGTATACTAAGTAATTTTTTCGCCGATTTATTTTGAGTTTTGGTTCCCGACATGTCGAATGCTTTATAGCAATGATAGTCACGGGACAGTTGCTGTAAAGCATTCGAAACGCCGAGAACTAAAAATCAAAATAAATGCGCAAAAAAATCTGAAAAGATAGTTTTATTTAGAACTAGCATTGCCCGCGGCTCCGCCCGCGTTCAGATGACCAAAAAATTAAATTCTTAGGTTTTACATATTAGTATAGTCTTACATTGCAGTTTTTGTATTTTTTCACATAAATGAGATATTTTCCCGCGGTAAAAAGTATCCTATATGTTGACCCGCTAAACCAGCTATCACCATACCAAATTTCATCAAAATCCCTCCAGTGGTTTTTCTGGGATGCCGTAACAAACAGACAGACAGATAGACAAAAATTCTAAAAACTATAGATTTGGCTTCTGTATCGATAATAAATAATAATGTTTATTTCAATAACATTTTCCAAAAAATATTTAATGTACAGATTCAGCTTCGTTACAATTTTATTATATGTACAGATGTCAAATATTCGCGTGAATCTAAGAAAGTTCAGTATAAATATTAAGCGTTCTTCTTATTTTTCTATAAATTTAATATTATATTCAATGTTCTTAATTACGTATCTAACAGCAGTTTGTCTAAAATTATCCTAAAATCCATTCGTGTCTTCCTCACAATAATTATGTCACGCTGGCAGAATGTTTTAAGCCTGTTTCCCATAATTTTAAGCCATTCAAAATCGAAAATTCGAATACTATATACAGATATTTATTTGTATCGTATAGATAAAACTATCTTTCGGATTTTTTAGCTCTCCCATGAACGTAAAGCATTCGAAACTGTGGAAACTAAAAATCAAAATAAAACCGCAAAAAAAAATTATTTAAAATGTCAAATATTCGCGTAAGTCTAAGAAAGTATTATGTATTATAATATAGTATTTGTTTTTTTTTTTCAGGTGCATTCAGAAGGAGAAACGGTAGGTGGATCACTCGGTGCTGAAGCACTAGCGGCACAGATGGCTCGCTTCAAGAGAGTCTCGTTACGGAAACTAAGGGCTTGGCGATCCTGAGTGTGGCAGGTTTGTATTTTTTTTTTAATTTACTTGTTTATTACTTGAAATTAATTTCCGAAAAAAAATTAAATTATGTTAATAATAATATAAAAAAATATAATATAAATATAAAAAAATATTGAATGCTATAAACATAAGGAAACAGAAATAAGAAAATTAAATATGATTTGCGTTGAGTTTTTTTTACCTGATAAATAAATAATATTATATATGTGTATTTCAAAGTGAATATCAGAAACATATATTTTTTCAGGTATTCCGCCGTCTCGGAACGAGTCTGGCGAACCATCGGGCATCACTCTCGTCTGAACTCGGCTCTCTATGGGATTTCTTTCGTATAGACAGAGAACGACGGCGCTCAGCTACTACTACTTCAGGCACTTATGAACCAGTAGAAACTAAATCACCCGCGAAACTAGCCAAAGATCTTTTTCAAGTCGTCCAAGATACAGTTTTCTCTAAGAAAATGGAAGAAAAACGATGCCCGTTAGTGAAAGAAGAGTCTGATCTCAGCTCAGATGATGAAGAAGGAACAGAGCGACGTATTGCCAACCTTATAGATTTCTTTTTTACTATTGTCAAAAGTCAAAAAGATGACAGAAAAAACAGCGGCGGAAGTTGTTTCAAAAGTGAAGACGCACCCGAAGAGAAATACGTACCGAGTCAAACAAAAATTCTAAATACGGACTTAGAGAAAAAGATGGAAACGTTATTAGAATTCCTCGCAACAAGCGGATGTGTGGAAAAAGAAGATAAGGACGAGAAAAAAATAACATTGATGGAGTTTCTTTTGACGGAAGATAAAAAATTTGAAAAACCTATCATAGAAATCAATACGAAAGGAATAAGTTTGTCAGAATCAAATGTTAATGTTAAAAATCTGTCTTACATAGATGAAACCCCTGGAGATGAATGCAATGAAACATTAGTAGAAATGCTGTTGAAATATATGGAAGATTACACTGTGAAAGAGAAGGATGCGTCTAAATCTTTATCAATAACTCCATCGTTATCAGAGAAATCTAAGTCTGATATGACTATTAGTAAATTCGAAACGTTTAGTGACTTTAGCAAAACTAAATCAGACTCGACACTAACGCAGACACAAGACACAGTAATCGACAAAGGAGATGAGGACATGCGGCGAATATCAGAAACAGTGATCGATTTAAGTTACGTTAAAACTGATTTGGAATCGATTTTCGAAGAAGCAATTTTACGTGTTTGCGAATTGAAGATGATTTTTGAGGATGATACAATGAGTGAGCAAGAGGATTTAGAAAATTTCAATGCGTATACAAAACCTCCTCAATTACAGTTCGGTCAAATGCCATATAGTGTTGAATTGTCTGACATAATTGAAGAAGACGAACCTGAATTATCTTCCAGAACAATGGAAAAAGACAGAATGATGCAAATAAGAGAAGTAGCAGAAGAGTTAATCAAATTCATAGAAGAAAGAGTGCAGAACTATTCATTTGACGATAGTTCTGGACCTTCCACAGAAGAATATAGCCGCGAATTCGATTTAAGCCCAAGCTTAAAATCGATCAGTTTAGTCGACTTACGGAACATCCCCGACTTACCACCTAGTATGATAATTAAGCCTAGAGTTGTAAAAATAGATAAATCCACATCCACAACCGAAATATCAGATTCAATATCCGAGTATTCGAGACGAATCGATTCTGCGTGTATGACAGAGGACACGACACTAAGTTCAAGCTCGGAAAGAAACGAACGAGCTTTAGACAAATTAGAATCCTTACATCGATTCTTCTCGAAATCACGTCTTGAAATTATAGATGAAAGTTTGGAAGAAGATAAAAATAAAAGTCCAAACGGAAATGACATTGTTAAAGGTGGCATTGGAGAGTTTAAAACTGGCCAAGCCAGTTTAGACGACGTTGAAGATTTGTTAGATGATAACGACAAGGAGAAAGATTTTAAAATGGAGAACATGAATACTGAATAATAAAAAGTTTCTTTTTGACATTTCGATAGCGTGATTTACAATACTTCAAGTATACTTCCGGTTTATAATTATGATTTATATATAGTCAAATAAAATACTAATACGATTAAAGCGAGAAAAGTACCAAAATAAATGAAGGCTAAGAAGGAACATATTTTTATCACGATATAAAATTCTTTATACAGTTTTATAATATTTTTACACAATAATATAATTGAATATCAGAAAAAGAAATCCAACATATCTACAAGTTCGGGAGATATATCTATATTCTAAACTATGTAAAAAAGCTACTAGTGCAGTAGCATCCCGTAACTATGCTTGGACCAGAAATATTCTTTTAAATTAAAAAAATGTGTCATAATAAGTAAACATCTAAAATTTTGACCTAAAATATACTTAAAATAATGTTGATAAACATATTTTAACTAAAATATCAATTTGGTATTAAAAAACCTAAATAGGCAGAAAAACTTGTCTGTTCCTAAGTTTCCTTTCCAGTGGAATAACTGGATTTCAACTAAATTAAAAAAGAACACATTATTATCTATATTAATTTTAAAATAATATATTTCTTGGATTCAAAAACTTTAGAAACTGAAAAAGCCAAATTTTAAATCGATTTTAATTTAATTGTTAATTTAAATACGTATAAAGAATAAAACTTAAATTAAAACTCAACTAAGACATAAAATTAACGGATATTTCTCGAAATTTCGAGGTCGAATAGTGAGATTTTTTAATAAATAGTTCGTAAATTCTTAGATATAGATAATAGAATATTTAAATATCTCGTACATTGTTGATTTCTGATCGACCGATTCATCGATTGTTTTAATATAGTCGATTATCTAAAGTATACCATGTAAAATTAAAAAAAAACTTATCAGATATTATGTTAGTGGTAGCAACAAATTTATATCTAAATATCTTATTTATTATTACAAGATTACATATTGAAATATCTTTAACGGTTTTGGTAAGAAATTTTATGTATTTTAATTTTTAAGTAGTATATACTGGGACAGCTATTACTGGAACATCAAACTTTTACTTCAAAGTTCAAAGTTAGACCCTTAAAGTTTAAATTTTACGAAAAGAAATTAATTTTCTTTTAAAACTTATATTTGAATTGGTTATAAAAGAAAAATTTTAAGTCACTAAGTAACCATTTTATTTTAAAACATTTTTCATATTATAAATTTAGAATCTGCTTATGCACAAGAAAAAAAGATTTGAAATTAAAAAAAAACATCACTTTTAAGTCTTTCATGTAGAAATCTTAACTTCATTTTTATGTTATTATTAGCTTTTCAAAATCATTCATTCAAATTGCAAACTGGTGCTAGTGCAGGATAAATTTGGTTTTTTCTAGGCATTTTTAAATGACATCCCCATTATCAATATGGCAAAAGTAAAAATTTGAAGAAACTTTTAAAAATATATATTTTGTCTATTGTTTTCTTAGAATGTCCAAAAATAAACTTGTAATCAAACTTGATATCGTAGTGTTATTCTGTAAGAACTTAATATATCTATTTTATTAATAGTTTTTCGACAGCTCACGCCCATGGAATTTCGTATTGTTTCAAGTTAAAATTTCATACAAATAATATTGTACTTCATGGACGGATACCACCCCCTTAGTGATGTGCCACACATAACGATTACTACGATTGTGCCACAGATTACAAATAATCGGTAGAAATAAATGCTAATATATAAATAAGGTGTAATATGTTATTTAATCAGGAAGACAACAAAAATTTATCGTAAATGCGTGTGACTAGCACGGGTGTTTGTTGCGACTTGCGAGTGACAGACTACGTCAAAATGTCGGCCGGACGGACCGTCGGTTGATGTTGCCAGTTGACGTATATATAATTTAATCATTATAATATTTATTTTCATATTAATATTTATTAATGATGAAAATAGACTTTATATTATATTTTTACAAAACAAAATAAGCGATGTCGATTATTACGTCCTTTAGGACTTCACTATAACTTGTCAGTCGTCGAGCTGTCAAAAAACTATTAATTAAATGGACAAACAAAAAACTCACTTCATACAGTTGTGTGAAGTATAATCGAGGATTCAGCTTTCGTGATACAAGTTCTAACAGAATAACACTACTTTAAGTACTGAATAACATGTATATAACTTGATTATTACACTATCATTTAAATATTGTATTATAAAATTCAGTCGATTAGAAATACACAACGTACAGACAGATGTTAGTTTAAAATAGATATTTATGTCAAGTTGAATTTATATTAATATTAATAAATTATCTACACGTTTTATACTATCCTTACAATATAGGACAAAAAAGTTTCTCTATTCATTTAAAGCAATGGTAACACAGCCCAAAAATAAGAGGTAAGCGGAGAGTTTGCTAACTTTTTTAAAGATATAACGTGGAAGTATCTAAATATCTAAGGCTTTTGATTAAATAAGTTGTTAGCTCCGATTAATAATGTTAGTGTAGCTTTTTATTTCACTGAAACTCAACTGTATCTTTATTTCTGTAAAAAAAATATCAATTCATTTATTTTCCCAAAATAATGTATTATGTACTTCTTTTTGATTTTCAATAGAATGTTAAGCAAATGTCTTAAAAAGTTGATCCATAAAAAAGGGAATTGTTAGATCTGAGACTAAGGAATTGTAAAAACCGGATCCACTAAAAAAAGTCAAATTCAAAAATAGTAGCGTGATTTGCTGCTTATGCTAGTATTTTCGATTTTGTCATACAGATGGTATACTTTCTTCAAAGAATAAGAAAATTTTTATTTATATAGGACGTAGGTGTTAATCATTAATTTACAGGTTTTGAAAAAAATCCCGTTAATAATAAAAATAATACTATATTGTTTTGTATTTTCTAAGCATTCATTCCTTTAAAGGGAGATAGCATAATATTAGCTTGTTTAATTTTTCGTAAATATCATAAAATCCATTAATTTATTATACTGTTTTAAAACATTATATATTATTTTAAAACATTATAGTCGGCCTTCATGTTCAATTTTTATGACTTGAGCTCCCTATTCAGTGCTTTCGCTTAATCCCTCCACGAACGCGGACACGCCGGCGTTACAGTTAACAATAGATTTCTTAGAAATTTACCTGTACGTGTTAATATGTATGCGGATTACTATATTATGCCTAAATCCTAGATTTGGTTTTTTATACGTGTATGTGGCTTTAATATATGAAAACATAAATACACATTTTCTAATAAATAACTGTCCAAAAAGTAGCGTCGACAAGTGACGTTAAGTCAACCCAAAGAATAAACCTACGACCATTCACGCAGTAGAAAATTCCAGACAGATCGCATAAATCCAATATATTTATTATATATTATTTATTCAATCAATATTCAATATATTATATAGTATGACAATATAGGCTTTATCACAGATAACACAATAATTAAAATTAGTGCTATAATATATTTTTTAAATAAAATATTATAATCTTTAATTTGTTAAACTTGAAATAATTTATTATCAAATGGAAATCAAAATATTATGTTAAATATTATTATGAGAAGTTGACCTTTTTTACGTGAAAGAGTTTTTGGAAAAAAAATAGTTTTATAAGTCAATAGTAATAAAAATGTTACTTTAAGTTCCTAGAACATAACAATGAACGCCCTAAGTATGAAATGTGAGTTTGAAGTACCTTTTTTGTTTAAAAACTAAGTTTATATAATTATATTTATTTGAATGTTTATTTAGTTGTATACAGATATATTTGTAGAGGAAATTTATTTGTTTGTTTCTTTTGAATATGAAGGCTTAAAAGCGGTTAGTGGCAATGCCAAATCTTTGGGCGAGGAATGCGCCAGCCCTCCTGTCACCAGTAGAGGTGATAAGACGAGGTGTTATATCTTCTAAAAACTGTTTACCATCGCGACTCCATGGGCCAAGGGTTTCTAAAATTTAAAATGACATTTTAGCTTTAAACAGTTGTATTTTTTTAATTGTTTTCTGTTTCTGTGCCTAAGGTAATAAAAAAAAATATTTTAGTAACCCACCTCACTTTACTAGTGGATAATAGTATATTATCCCCTTTAAATCCCGGTTTAAAAGTTACTTATATCATCCCTTGGCATTTAAAATAACACGTTGCGCCATTATACGTAAAAAAAAAGAAAAATATCATATTTTTCCTACATATATCTGTTTCTTTATATTAGAGTCTGTAAATAAGCATTTTGTTACATTTTATTTAAATTAATTTCATAAATATATACAAAACATATTGAAATTAATTATTTTACATTTGGAATTTTCAGTCCATTTCAATCATTAATGATTGTTTTAACAATCTCAGCCAAGCTCAGGCTTATTCCTAAAATTGATTGCACGAAAAACGACACAGCAAAGCTGACTACTTTTTGCACATACATATATGTTATTAAATTGAAAAATGCAAAGAGATATCTATTTTCCATCTCTTTTAACGAGATAGTTATATGTACGAGTATGTCACTTGTGGACTTTCTAATATTATCTCTCCGCATCTCATTTTATCTGTCAAATGTTATTCCTACTTTATATTTGTATTTTAACTTTAAGTAACTATTTAAGCTAAGTTAGATATCTTTTTGGTCTAAACTATATTTAAAATAAGTCATTTCCTCTGTACGCTGTAAAGAAAAGAATATATTTATTTGTATTTATTGAAAATCAGTGGAATTATATTTTAATAAACCATTTTATTTTACCGTGACGCTTGTTTTTTTTTGGCTATGTACCTACAAAGTCGGTCTTCTAATAAAGAATATGGTGTACCGTGTTTGTAGTAAATAATGTAGTATATCTACTGCTTTTCCTTTTGATAGAGAGTATAATCAAAATATCGGCTCACCCTCGCTTAGCTCGAGTTCGTTTCTAGAAAAACAAAAACAAACCTATCCCACGGGAACCGTTCATTTTTCCGGGATAAAATATAGCCTATGTGCTATTCCAGGCTAT